TGGGCCCCGGTCGGCGGTTTTTGTCCAGCGGCGACTGCTTGGCTCCAGCTGCGAGCCGCGGATAACAGTCCGGTGTTTGGACCTCCATAGGGCCGCCTGTTAACGCGGAGCTCATTTTTAGAGGCGCTGTTAGTTTGGGTTATTCTTAGATTGCAGCTCCGAGCCATGAGTAGCTGGACCGTGGGGATACACAGAGCCTCTACCCCACGGAGGTGGAAAGTCGCTGTGACCCCTTTGTGCGAAAGGTTGGAAGCGATGTGCCCTGTGCGGTGTGCACACTGCCTGCATAATGAGCAACGAGCATTGACCAGTCTTCTGAGCTCTGCACGACCGCCATAACTGCTCGGTATAACAGCTCGGTATACTGCATAACCTGTATACTGCAGAATCTCTTTACTACGGTACCACACTACACTGTATCTGTGTAGTGCAGAATCCTTATGCTATAGTGCTCAGTATCTGTATACGGCAGATTTGGTGGCGCGCTCCCCCCCCCCCCCCATACGGCAGATTATATATGCTGCAGTACCCTCCCCCCCCCCCCCCCCCCCATACGGCAGATTATATATGCTGCAGTACAGAGTATGTATCTGTATTAGAGATGTCAATCGGATACCAACTTTTTGGTATACCGATACCAAACCGATACCAACTTGGTATTTGGTACCTATTTCAATGCTAAGGCTTTCGGTATTTTGTTGGTATTATGAATCCTGACTAACGAAAGAGGCTAATGAATTTGGCTAATGAATTTGGTAAAAAGTTGGTATTTTCTCATTTTCCAAAGTCGGTTTGGTTTCGGTATTTTCTCATGGTTTTTGTTGGTATTTGGTTTGGTATCGGTATCACGATTTTCCGTAATTGACATCACTAATCTGTATGCTGCAAATTTTGCAGCTACCTGAAACCAAAGCCGGTTGTTTTAGCACCAGTTCAGAAACGGAATGAGGATTGCCATGTCGATAATGAGGAGGAAAAACTTTTAATATTTCCTCAATCTCCTACCTTACTAGCTGAAATGCTCGTTTTCCGACAATTTCAAACATTCTAAATGCAATTTATAATCCGAAGGGATCCAACTTTATCATTTCTTAGTGCAGAGTCCCATTCCACAGCCAGCGAGTAATGCATGTAGTTATTAACACCATGCCGGCCGCCAGGCGGCGAGCGGCCGCAGCGTCATTGTCCATGGCCGGCCCTCCCCCTCCCCCCCCCCCCGTTACTGATCGGCCGGGGGGGGGGGGGGGGCTGGGTCGGTAGCGCTGGCTGCCGGTGGCCGCCGGCCGCCGCCGCCGCGCCGGCCGGGGAGGGTAGGTTAGGTAGTGCTGGCTGCCGGCCGGCCGGCCGTGCGCGCCCGCCGTGAGCGCCGAGCGTCACGGTGACGGCCGCCGGCCCGGGCGCGTGACGACGCGCCTCGCCTCCCACCATTGTAGGCCGACATCGATTGGCGTCCGCTCTGTTACCGTCCGGCGACGGCGGCGGCGTGGAGGCTAGGTCAGTGTCGGCCCGGCGCCAGCCGAGCGGCCCGGCCGGCCGGCGCGTCGATAGGGCCGTCCACCCACCGGCGGCCAGTGGCCCGCGGTCCTCCGCCGGCGGCCGGCCGGTCGATGGGTTATGGCGCAGAGCGCTAAAATTGGCGTGGCCGGCGATTGCCGCCCGACCATGTCCCGCCTGCTAATGTCGAGAGTCTGCTGAGATACTCGGGTAGAACGGCCCGGAGATGACCCCGAACAGGGCGGCTCCGGTCGATTCGTGTTGTGTGTTGGGATGAGCAGAGTGACTGTGTCTCCGTACCAAGTCGGAATGTAGCGTACCGGAATGAATAGAAACGTCCTCAACTTATTTTTTTGGGATGACCAGGCTCGTGTGCTCTCATCTCGATATGCGGGAATAACTTGTTGATAACAACCGCGGGTAAAATATATCATATCGAGTTACGATACGCCGTCGTGTGGTGATAGACTGCAGTGACGTATGACACCCGGCCGATACAGATCACATATGATAATTGATATGACCACGGATGGGCCATGGGTAGGTCGGAAAGGACCCATGTGACGAGCGATAGAGCTCGGGACCGACCGTGACGATCTGGCCAGGTCACCGACTGGCGCGCTCTACTAGGTTGGCCGGACGCTGGCTACGTGTGTGAGTTGGTGTTCGCAACGCCTCGGTCGCCAGGACGACGTGTGAGCGTCGCCCCGTTATTCGGCGGCGGGGCCGGCCTGCGGGCCAGGTCAGGCCGTGCGCGGCGCGTCGTAACTCCGTGCGGGTCGGGCAGACGCCGAGACGCCGGCCGCTGTTGCCACCCGCGCTGGCCGCGTTACGCCGCTGCCGCGGGCACTGCCGGTGTGCCGTCCGCGCCGGTGTGCCGCCCCGCCCCGCCCCGCCCACTTCCCACGCCGTCCGCGCGCGGTGCGAGCTCGGCGTACGGACAAGCCGAGCGTGTCCGTTGCCGCCGCTGTTTTAACCGGGCCCGTGTCCGCCGGCGCTGGGCCTGGGAGGTCATGGGCCTCGGGCATATAAATTAATTGAAGGAATAGCTTATTGGTGCCACTTTCAATCGCAGATACTCCTCAACTGGAAAGTTTTCACGACTCGGCCCTGGCTACTACCACTAAACTTCCTGAGTCATCTGGCTGCGTGCTTGACATAACCCTGTCCCCACAGCAAACCTAGTATATATTAGTTCAAGCATTCTTTTGTATCGCCCTTTTTACTCTTGACGAGTTTCAAGATCGTTTCCAGGCTAACTTGATTTGGTCATGTCATTGCTCAAAACCGTTCACGTATATTTCGGGATGTGATACCCTAACCATAGACTGCTGCATACCTTAGGGTATTAAGTGGTCTATGCCCTAACGTAACAAAATTGATCAGACTCCCTGAATTCAATGGATGTTTTTCAATGGATGTTCCCCTGCACTGTCAAAGTGAAAAAACGCTTGTCATAGGTGACATTGGATGAAGAGACTGGTTCCTCTCAGGTGCTGGTTTCTCAGACCGCGCGGCGGAGGGGCTGGCTGCTGGGGAGAGGGCGTGGCGGGTTCACACGGGCCTGTTGAGGCCGGGCTGGGCCGGACCGCAGCCGGGGACGGTGTACCGCGGGGTTCCGGCTCGGCCGGCAGGCGGCACACCCCATGGCTTTGTGTCAGTGTGGACTGCCCGGAGCGGCGACTGAGACACGGGGACTCCATGGCAGGCGGTCCGTCGCCGGAGCACGGCGATCTGGCGCTGTCCTGGGGACATGGAGCCCCGTGGCCCGGCCCCGGAACCGGAGCCTGGCTCGGTCAGGAGCTGCGGCCCGCCCGCCGGCCGGGAGGCGACTGGCCCGGTCGGTACTGGGGCGGCCGCCGGGCCGCGCCGCGCCGCGCCGCCGTCGGTCGGACTCGGACCGACTCCGCAGCCCGCTGCCCGCCGACCAAGGCCAAACAGTGCACGGCCGGCCGGCCAGTGTCGAATGACGCCGGCCGCATCGGAGTGGCGAGCGGCGAGTGGCCGGCTGGGCCGACATGGGGCGACACCGGCACCCCCTCCCCCCCTCCCGGGTGGTGGTGACCAGGGGTGGGCTACGTGGCAGGGGGGGGGGAGGGCTACAATGCTGCTGAGATTGCGGAGATTATCACTGTCTTGGGGGAGGGGAAGATAACGATTCAATGATGTTTTCTGTAAGATGTCCTACAAGTCTACCAGCAAAGACGTTGCAGAAAACGAAGGCAATATTTGCGGGCGCATATCACCTGAAAAGAAATTATTAACCAAAGTCTGAGATGAAAAGTCGTGCTTCAAATCACGTCCAAGTTGTATTGCACTTCTCGGGAGACTGGCTTTCATCTCATTTCTCGTCTGCTGGCGCCCCAGGTGCCGCCTCTGAGCGGTCTGTTAGTTCAGCGATGGGATGTGCAAACTTGGCGCCGTGTGGATAGTGGAGCTGGGCCCAGGTGGACCGTGGAACTGGCTCCGTGTGGGCAGTGGACCGCCGGCCTTGTGGACAGTGGAAGGTGGGGCTAACAGTGGAGTGTCCGCCATGTGGACAGTGGACAGCCGTTGGCCGTGTGGACAGTGGACAGCTGTGTGCCGATGGGGAAACTCAGCCGGCTGGCTGGCAGTGTGCCAGTGCAGGGAGTCGCCGCCCAGCCGGTCTGCCGCCGCGCCGCGCCGGTGTGACTCGACCCCGTCTGGCCGCTCGGTACTGCGCCGTCACCCCACAGCCGGCCACCGCGACAGGTACAGGAAGAGGCCGCGGCTTAGCCGCAGCTCGGCATCCACGGCGTACCAGCCGGCCCGGCGGGGGCCGCGGCCTGCCGGTGGACGGGGTGGTCAGGTGGCCCCTCCCGACTGACGGGGCGGTCAGGTGGCCCCTCCCGACTGACACAGTGGGTAGGTGGCCTCTCCCGACTGACGGGATGGTCAGGTCACAGGTGGCCCCTTCCGGCTGACCTACTCCCTTCTGACGCACTTATGCCTGCCTACCTCCCCTACTGACGGGACGATGTAACCGCCCTTCCTACGGACCTTCGCCACGGATACCGTGTGGCATGTACCCAATGACCTCCGGACACCGGAGCTGATCCCTTCACGGTGTCACTCGTCTCCGCCCCGGTAATCTATGAACGCTGCGCAGAAGATAGTGTTGTGCTTAATTTGTGTGGGTGCATCCCTCGAGGAAGAGTTGTCACTTGTCAGAAGTTGGCAGTTAACGAACATATCCCTGGGTTCATGGATGGCGCTACATGGTTTCACACCTGGGCTGTAATATACAATTTTATTATTAGGGATTGGGTCTTCTGTTCGGCTCCACTCCTGCTGTCCGCCGTCTGCCGGCCCCCTGTCTGTGTGTGCTCCACCCCTGTCTGTCTTGTACACTTGTACACAAACTTGTGCTAGCGCCCTCAGTTTGTGTGCCGACTGCAGGTGTGCATAGGACGCCGTTGTACTGTGCCCGCCGCGCTGACCATTGCTCCCCGTGTCTGACACCTCTGCTCCTCCTGTGCCGGCAGGCGGGCGGCGAGGGCGGCGGCGGCGGCGGCGACGGCTCCGGGGAGCTGGCCGCCTCCTCGGTGCTCATCCGACAGTGGGCCGAGAAGCTGATCGGAGAAAAGTTCGAGACGCTCTCTCAGCTCAGCAGCTACCTGGTCAAGAAGAACTACGTGAGCGGTCCGACGCCACTGGGCATGGCCGCGGCGGCAGCCAACGTGATCAAAGGTGGGCGGCGGCGGCCTTGTGGCGCGGGCTGCGGGCCGGGCCGGCCGGATTACCGCCGGTCGGCCGGCCGGCCGCGGTGACCCGGCGCCGTGCATCATGTCGTATCACCGCACATCAGTGGTGGGCCGACAGCGGCCGCAGGTTCTCCGCAGCGTCCCCGGCGACCCGACTGCTCTCCTTTCCCGACACGGACCATCTGTCAGTCGCGCTCAAATGAGCTCTTTATTCTCTGCTGCAGATCAGACCAAGGGCACTAAATTTTATTCTAGAACAGAACGTAGTCTGGTTTCAAATGCATAATTGCGTCGTTGAATATTAATCGTATGCGTATACCCTCTGGTACGTACTGCTGACTTCATTCAGTCTGTAACCCGACCATTGCCAATGAACGATGCCCATCTTCGTCAAGAACCAAAAAGTGTCCGCCGAAACGGCTCGAACCGGCTAGCTCCCATCGCCCGCTACCCTGCCAGCGGCTCCGGTCTCTCCGGGCCGAGCTGCTGGGCGGCGTTTTGTGACACACTGTGTTGTTTTGTTCCAGACTTGCCGTCAGGCTGCTTGCCGCCTGTAAATAGGCATAGGGAGACGCAGCTCCAGCTTCAAAGAAAACTGCAGGAGAAGGAACTTTTTCGAGAACAGAAGAAGAAAATACAGGTATGCACAATAATTTTGCATACTTTATTTACAGGAAGTCTTTACTTGCTCTCTTTTGTCTAGACTCCGCTGTTTGAAGTTAAATTGAATGCAACTGGCATTGTCATTGTTTTGGTAACTTCAAATACGGCAGGAAATTGTCCCAGTGTGCGGTTTGTCAGGTGAAGCCGGCAGTTTTACCGCTGAGCTGAGGCCCTGTATAGTGGCACCGGTGATTGCCTCATTGTGATTGGCCCAGGTGCCAGTCAGTCGTGTTATATAAGGCCGGAGGCAAGTTCGCAGATAGGATCCAACATATTTGGAGTTGTCAGTCCAATTTCCTGACTAGTTACCGAAACTCTCCGGCGGATATTGAGTTTTGTATCCTCCTTCGTCACGTTCACAAGATTTAAATCAGGGCTACACAGACAGGCCTCTGAATGATGTTACGCCTTGAGGAGCTCTTCGATTTGGCCTATTTGATGATCTTTGTAGGCGGCGATGAAGTTTTATTTTATTTTCAGTCAACGATCTGGCTGGCTTTTTATTCAACACCTACATCTTGTGCGTTACCGAGTTGCAATAGTTGCGTAAGGTCCTTAGCGCTACCTGCATTTTATCATCAAAACTGGCTAATTAAGGTTTAGCTTTCGCTGAAACTGCGTCATGTTCCTGCGTATATCATTGGCCTTTAATCTGTAATATGTCAGCGTTATGGGTACGGCTTAACGGCTGATCTTTCCGTCGGTAACGAGTTGAGGCCGCCGCGCCGTCCGGTTTGGAGCCACAGCCCCTACCCTCCCCTCCCCATACACGACTGGCAATGTCACGGGCGAGTCCAGGGTTGTCGCGCGCTGCTTTGGCTCGGGTTTGGCGCCGGACTGATATATCTGGTAGCGACTTGTGTCTGTCGTTGGTGGGTACGGTGTCAGTGTGTTCCGCGACTGCCGTGGTCGCCTGCCGCTGTGCTCCTGTGTTCGGTGCCGGGGCCTCCAGGCTCATCCGACGGAGGCGGCACAGACAGCCGATCTGGGCTCTGTTCGCTCTGCTGTCTGACCGGCGTCGTTGGAATGTGTCTGGTTTGTCTGCCCTGCTGTGTGTCTGGTCTGTCTGCCCTGCTGTGTGTCTGGTCTGTCTGGCCTGTCCCGTGTGTCTGGTCTGTCTGCCCTGCTGTGTGTCTGGTCTGTCTGCCCTGCTGTGTGTCTGGTCTGTCTGCCCTGCTGTGTGTCTGGTCTGTCTGCCCTGCTGTGTGTCTGTGGTCTGTCTGCCCTGCTGTGTGTCTGGTCTGTCTGCCCTGCTGTGTGTCTGGTCTGTCTGGCCTGCTGTGTGTCTGGTCTGTCTAGCCTGTCCCGTGTCGGGCTCGTCTGGCCTGTCCCGCGTGGGGCTCCCGTCTGCTCCGTGGGACTGCTTAACCCGTCCGTGTGTGTGTGGTGGTCTGTGTTTCGGTGGTCGCTCTGTCGATCTGCCTCCGGTGTCTGTTGCCCTGTGTTCTGTGCCATGCTGGCAAGACACTGTCTGTATCAGCCGTGATTTGTGCCGGCCATGACTCCGCCTTCCCTCCCCAGTCCGCCCACGACCATCATCGGCCGAGTCTGCGCACGTCCAGTGTGCGGCCCGAGCCGAGAATGTGTGAATAAATAAACAGGCGGCCTGCAGCGGGGGCGGCGCGGCCGGCTCTGACATTGGCCGCGGCCGCCCGCGCGCTGTGGGCCGCCGCTGGTACACGCGCACTTCGTAATGTCATTGTTCCATCCGCGCATTAGGGCTCAGTTGTGACCTGACCTAACTCGGCGGATCAAGTCACCAGTGCTGCACGCGATATAATTGACCTGGCTACCCGTCTTGGACGAACGGCGCCGCCCTTCTATAAGCGCCGAGTGCTAGTGAAAACACAGACCAGCCGTAAACAAATGTCATGTTAGATAACATGCGTCCTGGCCAGGCCGCTCCAGCTGTGTCGTAATAGAGGCAGCTAAAACAACACATGTCTTGGTGCACCAACGCCCAAATATCACTGCGCAAATCTTCCACTGGGTGATCCGCGGACTTCTCGGCTCCTCATACCACTACCTCTCGGCCGGTGCTGTTGTTTCCCTGACTGGCGTGCACTGCACTGGATGGCCCTCCCTGCCTTGCCCCGTTGGCCGTGTCTGTGAAGCCGTGGTCCTTACGCCAGCTACCTGGTGCCGCCCTGTGCCGCCCGTCTGACAGCCCTCCTCTGTCCACAGGACGCCGACGGCAAGGGTGATAAGGTGGGCGCGCGCGGACGGAAGCGCAAGAAGGGCCTGGGTGACGACAAGCCGGACGGCACGGAGGACCTGTCGATGGACTCTGCCGGCTACAGCGAGCCGCCCGGCTACGGCGACCACTACGGCGGCGGCTGGCTGGAGCCGCGGCCGCCCGGCGACGCGTTCGGCGGCGGCGGCGGCGGCGGCGCGCCGGCCGGGCCGCCGCCCAACGCCATGGACCAGGAGCGGCCCGAGTACGCGCCGCTCTCCGAGGCCGCCTGCGTCAACATGTCGGCCATGAGCGGCGGCGGCCCGGTGCCGAGCTCGGCGGCCAGCGGCCACTCGCACTGCGCCGTCATCACCAGCGCTGCGCACGAGCCGGGCGCGCACACCACCTTCGTGCAGCCGGCCGGGCCGCGGCACAACGGCTACCAGCCGCCGCCGCCGCCGCCCCCGCCCCCGCCGCCGCCACTGCCTCCGCCACCACCGCCGCCACCGCCCCACTCCAAGTTCAAGCTGAAGTACGAGTCGGGCGAGTACGACGCTCGCTCGTCGTGTTCGGGAGGCGCCGAGCCGCCGCACCACCGCGAGTACGGCGACGCCATGGCCGCGCAGGATAACGAGGAGGAGCTGATGCAGTACTTCAACAACAAGGACCACCACCACCAGAAGGAGGAGCTGTCGCAGCTGCGCATGCTGCTCGAGCAGAATCTACCCGGCAGCAAGGAGACTCAGAAGGTGGAGAAGCCGGCCGGACCGTTCCCGGGCGCGCAGGGCCAGAACGGCGCCGCCAACTCCGTGGCCATGCGGCGGCGGGTCAGCTTCCAGCCGAGTCTGTCGGCGCCGGACGGCCTGGCCGGACAGCCGGCCGGCATGGTGCCGCCCAGTCCCAACACGCGGCGGCGCTTCTTCAACTTCCAGCCGATCGGGCACGACCCGCCGCCGCCGCCGCCGCCGCCCGGCCTCGGCATCGCCGAGTCGCCGTTCGTGTCTCCGCACAGCACGCCGATCCCGCTGTCGCGGTCCCGGCACAACTCGGGCCAGCTGCCGGCGCCGTACCTGGTGCGCGGCCCCGGCACCGGCACCATCACGCCCTTCTCGGCCATCTCGGAGCTCTCGCGGTGCGCCACCATCGGCTCGGAGAACTCGACGCCGTTCCTGTCGCCGCAGTCCACCCCGGTGCCGTTCGCCAGGTCGCGGCACAACTCGAGCCAGCAGACATGCCGGTTCCCGCAGTCGCGGTCACGGCACTCGTCGGGCGCCACGCCCATGTCGGCGGTCGGCTGCCGCCAGCCACAGCCGCTCTACGCGCCCATGAACCCCAACCCGTACTCGCCCATGTCGACGCTGGCGCCCAGCTCGCCGCACATGTCCGTCGACGAGTCGGGCATCCAGACGTCCAACTTCCCGACGCCGGACGGCACGCCCTCGGTCCGCTCGCGCCACTCGTCCTCTGGCTCGGGCATCTCGCCCATCTCGGCGCCCGTGTCGCCGACCAGCGCGGCGCTGGTGGACAGCCGCGCCGGCTACAGCGACCTGCGCCGGCGGCACCAGTCGGCCGGCGCCACCGTCCACTACCGGCCGCCGGCGCGGCCCGCCGACACCCGCTTCGACCAGCTCGGCTTCGAGATGTCCGGTCTGACCGAGGGTATGGACACGGGCGGCGGCGGCGGGCAGCTGGGCCTGCAGCGGTCGCAGAGCGTGCCGCCCACCTCGATGGCGGTGGGCGGCGCGCCCGGCGCCGACGGCGGCTACGTGTTCCGCGCGCCGCCGGCCGCCATCGCCGGCGCCCACTCGGGACACGGCCTGGTGGCGCCGCTGGCGCTCGAGTACGGCGGCGCCATGGATGCCGGCTTCAGCGCGCCGCCGGCCTCCTGCCCGCCGCCGCCGGCCTCCTGCTCGTCCAACATGACGCTGGCCGAGCTGAACACGTCGCTGCAGCGGCCGACGGTGTCGTGCGCGGCCGGCCGCGACCCGATGGCCGGCGGTGGCGGCGTGCAGGAGCCGCCGCCGCCCAGCGTGGACGCCGACCTCGGCGAGACGCTGCAGGCGCTCAGCGAGTGCGACGACTTCTCGCGGCTGATGATGGAGGTCCCGGAGAACGAGTAGGCGGCGCGGTGACGTACCTCAGGCGGGCGCAGTCACACACCCACACAGACACACAGGCAGACTGACTGATCGGAGGGAGTCCGACCGGGCCGGCGGGGAGGGGTGCGGGACCGACACACACATATTCTACACACAGTCTGACACGGCTGAGCTGTCCGCTGCTCCATATGCTCGGCTTTGCCTCAAACGCATGACTCTTTAATATCGTCCACGTCTCGTTTATCTTTGTACCCAGATACATAGTTGGGTATTTGCCGCTTTTAATCAGACATTTGATACACGTCACATCATCAGAGTTCGGACACTGTTTCCATCGCGCCGCGCCATGTGATGTCCGTCAGAGGGGGCGCGTCCCGCCGGCAGTCTCTGGGTCGGGCGCCGGCCTGCCGCGGGCTGGCGGACGGATGGGTTGGCTCGACCCCGACCCCGGGGCGCGGAGCTCGTACACCGTGTGTGCGCGGCCGCCCCCCGGCTCCAGTCGCTACGTCTCGCTCGGCTAGAGGCTAGTTTTTACCGTTTAAGCTGGGACTGACTGAGAGCGAAGGAAGGCTTGCTGATGTTGTGCGCCGTGAGGTGTCGCTTTTGTCGTGGTTTCGTCGTGTGTGATTTGCTATGGTGCTGAACGATTTACGCGTAAAAACTGCCCGCGGGTGGCATCATGTCAGAGAAATAGATATATTTTACCGAGGCGGGTGCGTAGCTAGATGTGAACGGCAGTGAGAGGAAAAGTACCTGAAAACTTCAATATATCTCTGAGATTGGCGCGCGCGCGCGCGCTGGGCTGACGGGGTAGAGCGGCCGGAGAATGGAGAGAGGAGCGGCGATCAGTACAAACTCGTGTCGGCGCTGGGTGCAATGGGCGGCGGGCGGCCGTCCGTCCCGGCCGCGCTGCGCTGTGATCGGGACGGCCGGCCGGGCGGTGGCGCGGCCGACGCCCCGGTCCGCTCGTCGATGTTGATTGTGCGCCACCTCTGGCCGTGATGGGTTGGCGGCTGACCGGCGCTCGTTGTTTGTGTTGGTGTGGGCGGCGGGCGGCCCGCTGCTCGGCCCTGTCCAGCCTCCGTGTGCTTGGTCCGGTCGACGGTACGCTCGGTTATTTTTGCCAGTCCCCGGCTTTTGGGCGTTGCGTTTCGGCCGTCTCGGTGGCCCGTGTCTGTGTTACCTGCCGGTGATTTGTCGTGATGTCCGCGGGTGCGCCACCGGCGCCGCCGCCGGGCGCCCCTGCAGTAGCATAGCATTCGCTTTAAGGTGATTTAGACTTACAATGGCTGGCGGGCGGCGCCGGGCCGCTGGCCGCCGCGGCAGTGACCCGCTAATCAAACGGTGCCGAGCGGCCGCTGGCTCTCGCACGGGGCATTGTGGGCGCGGCGTGCCGTGGCCGTGGCCGCGGATACAAATTCTATATTTTATGTTTACGATCGGTAGAGGTGGGTGGGTGCCCGGCCGCCGCCAGCTGCCAGCCGCAGTTCAAACGGACGCCGTCTGTAGTTGTGGGTGTAGCGGCGGCCGATCTATGGTGCTGTGTGCGGCGGCGCGGGGCCGGCAGCCGCGCCGACAGTTGTTGATCATGCCTATCGAAGAGGGTCGCTACCTGCGCACGATTGAGACGAACTTCTGCCAAATGCAGGCTCTTTTGCGTTGTTTGTTCATTTTAAAATGCCAACAATACACAATAAAGCAAGCCTAATTACAGTGGTCTTGTTGTGTGGTCATCGCCGTAGTTGCCGTGCATTGTTCTCGCTGAGGGGACAGTCATTCGGGATGCAGACTTCGCACTAATTGTGTGGTGTCGGCAGGCAGGTAAACACTGTCGTAAGCAAATCACGTTATATGTATTATGGCGACAAGCATCTACATCGTGTTCGTAAAAAAGTCGTAACAACCAAAATGCCACTGTTACAAATGCCTGTTGTTACAGTCTTAGAGAGCTGCTGGTAAGGAAACATTTGCAGAAAATACTAGTCGAAGTTTCACCTCAACAAAACACTAATCCTAACAAAAACTTTCAACGGAGAGTAATGCCCACCATAACAGAATGCCACGGCACTGCCCTCTTACGATTCACAAATCGCACACCCTCAACAAAACATTATCATAACTAACAGCTCCAGCGTTAATTCTTCAATGACGTGGGAGTTTCCTGACCCTATCAATCGCCGCTCACATTTACTCGTCAGCTAACTACACTCGCATCAATACTGGTTAACGGTGTCATTAGATGCCAATCCACTACTAGAGTTGTGGTGCTGGCATCTGTGCAGCTGCCTCCCGCCCCTCCCGCTCGCCCACCCGCTCACCAGCAGCGGCAGTGCGAGGGCGGACAGAAGGGCGGGTTCCGCCTCCCGCGACTCCCGCTCGCCCCACCCGCTCACCAGCAGCGGCAGTGGGACGGCGGACAGAAGGGCGGGTTCCGCCTCCCGCGACTCCCGTCCCCCGTATCCGCTCACCAGCAGCGGCAGTGGGACGGCGGACAGAAGGGTGGGTTCTTCATCAGGCAGTTGGAGGCGCACCACTGGCTCATGCCGGGCACCCAGCGCCAGGCGCCGGTGGCCTCACACGCGCTCACCAGGGCGCCGGGCCGGGCCGGGACCGGCGGCACGGACGGCCGCCGGCTGGTCGTGGTGGTCGGCGGGGGTTGGGAGGTCGAGGGACGGGCCGTGGTGCTTGAACTGGCCGATGGAGGCACGGTGGAGGCCTGCGGCGCCGGCCCGAGGACAGGGATGGGCTGCACGTGTCCGACGGGCTTGGTGAGGACGTGGGAGCCGAGGTCGGAGGACGGGGACGGCATGGGCTGCGCCAGGCCGTCCGGCTTCATCGGCGCCATGGTGCTCGGCGTCTGCCGGTCGGGGGGAGGCCCCTGGTCGTCGGTCGGCCGGTGGGGACCCTGCCCCGCCGGCAGGACGAGGATCGGCTGAATGTCTCCGGTGGGTTTGGTCTGGACCGGGTAGCCCTGCTCCGCGGGCAGCACTGGAATCGGCCTCACGTCTCCAGTCGGTTTAGTCTGGACCGGCTGGTCGGGCTCGGCGGGCTGCACGTCTCCAGTCGGTTTGGTCTGAACCGGCCGGTCGGGCTCGGCGGGCAGCACAGGGACTGGCTGCACGTCGCCGATCGGTTTGGACTGGACGGGGTGGTCCGTCTCGGGAGGACGGACGATGATCGGCTCGACGTCCCCGATGGGCTTACTCTGTACCGGGTGCCCGGTCTCCGGCAGGACGGGTATCGGCTGGAGATCGCCGGTCGGCTTGGTCTGAACCGGGTGGCCTGGTTCCTTCTGAAGGGACTGGATCGGTTCTTCACCATCTGTTGGTCGTACACCTAGCTCTGGGCTATCAGAACCATCCTCCGGTGTCAGCTCGCTCGATTCAGATGGTATCGGTAGTCCTGCCGGGGGTCGCGGAGTTGGGTAAACTGCCGGACCGGCCATGGGGTATCCTCCGAACGATCCTCCGGGCCTGGGGTATCCTCCAGGTGATCCTCCGGGACTCGGGTACCCTCCAACTGATTCTCCGGGCCTGGGGTATCCACCAAACGATCCTCCGGGCCTAGGGTACCCACCGATGGATCCACCAGGTCTAGGGTATCCTTGGACGGATCCACCTGGACTTGGGTATCCTCCGACTGACCCTCCAGGACTTGGATATCCTCCGACCGTTCCTCCAGACCCAGGATACCCTCCGAGCGAGCCGCCGAGGCCGGGGTAGACGCCGCCGGTGGCCCCGTGTCCCGGGCGGCCGGCGCCAGGTCGGGTCGGCCGCTGGGCGGTGACGGTGACGGTCAGGGTGGCCGTGGGCCGGGGCACGGGGACGGCCGGCGCCGGGCCCATGTCGCCGGCCGCCGCCGACTCGATAGTGAGCGTGGCGCCGGGCCGGTGCACGCCCGCCATGGTCGGCGTCGGACCGGCGATAATGGTGACCTGCGGCGGGCCGGGCCGGGGTCGCGGCGGCCAGCCGGCCGGCGACGGACGCGACCACACGATGGAAGTCACCATCACGGGCGCCGCGCTGGCCGAGGGGCGCACGGTGACCGGAGGCGCGGCACTGGCCGAGGGGCGCTCGGTGACCGCGGTCGACCCCGGTCGGATGGCCGTGACCGGTCCGTAGGGGCCCGTCACCACGACTGTCTCAAACGTCAGCCAGCTGGTGACCTGTGGTCGGTCAGGCCGGGACGGGGTCACCGCCGGGGACGGAACGGTCAGGGTGGCGCTAGGGTGGACGGAGGTGACCGAGGGACTCAGGGTAGCTCCGGTAATGAACGAAGTAACGGACGGTTTCAGTGTCGCCCCGGTAATGAACGAAGTAACGGACGGTTTCAGTGTCGCCCCGGTAATGAACGAAGTAACGGACGGTTTCAGTGTCGCCCCGGTAATGAACGAAGTAACGGACGGTTTCAGCGTCGCCCCGGTAATGAACGAAGTAACGGACGGTTTCAGCGTCGCTCCAGTAATGAAGGAAGTAACTGACGGCTTCAGTGTCGCTCCAGTAATGAACAAAGAAACGGAAGGTTTCAGTGTTGCTCCAGTGATAAACGTTAAAGACGGTTTCAGCGTCGCTCCAGTAATGAACGAAGTAACGGACGGTTTCAGTGTCGCCCCGGTTATAAACGAAGTAACGGACGGTTTCAGTGTCGCCCCGGTTATAAACGAAGTAACGGACGGTTTCAGTGTCGCTCCAGTTATGAATGAAGTAACGGATGGTTTTAAGGTCGCTCCAGTAATAAATGATACAGACGGTTTTAGTGTTGCTCCAGTAATGAATGAAGTAACGGACGGTTTCAGTGTCGCTCCAGTAATGAATGATGTAACGGACGGTTTCAGTGTCGCTCCAGTAATGTATGATGTAACAGAAGGTCTTAGTGTCGCCCCAGTAATAAATGATATAGGCGGTTTCAGCGTCGCTCCAGTAATGAACGAAGTAAGGGATGGCTTCAGTGTCGCTCCAGTAATAGACGGTGTAACGGACGGTTTCAGTGTCGCCCCGGTTATAAAAGAAGTAACGGACGGTTTCAGTGTTGCTCCAGTGATAAACGTTAAAGATGGTTTCAGTGTCGCTCCAGTAATAAACGATATAGACGGTTTCAGCGTCACGCCAGTAACGAATGAAGTAACTGACGGTGTCAATGTCGCTCCAGTAATGAAAGATATTGAAGGCCAAAGAGTAGCCCCAGTAAGGATTGATGTAATCACGGGCTCCAGCGTCGCTCCAGTACCAAAAGATATCGACGGCCGAAGTGTGGCCCCAGTAATGAATGGATAAATGGACGGCCTAAATGTCCCTCCAATCGTGAAGGACGTGAGAGAGGGAATTAGAGTCGCTCCTGTCAATATAGACGACACGGAAGGTTCCAATGTGACGCCAGTGAGGATGGACGAGGCCGATCCACTCTCCGTGGCTCCGACTGGGACCGAGGACACTGCGGTGCCCAGCGCGGCCCCGGCGGGTATGGCCGGGGTCAGGCCGGGCCGGCCGGCGGCGGGGTCCGCGGTGGCGGTGCTGGGCCCGCCGGCCGCCCCCGCCGGCTGCACGGACGGCTCCAGGTGCGGCGAGGAGCCGGGCCGGTCGGGCAGCGCCGCGTCCGGCACCCACACCACCGTCGGCGGCCCGTCGTCGTACTCGGTGTCGGTCGGCTCGATGGCGATCGACTCGCCGGCCGGGATGGTCGGGTAGTCAAAGTCGGTGGTCGGGCCGGGCGGCAGCGGCTGCGTGCCGCCGGGTGAGGTCGGCACGGACACCTCCTCCCACCCCCCGTCTGGGTACTCGGGCTCCACGCCGGGCTGCAGGTAGTCCGGGTACAGCTCAGCGTCCTCCGTGTCGGGGTACACCGGCTGGCCGATCTCCGGGATGGTCACCGTCGTCTCGCCGCCCGACGGTCCCGTGTCGGTGGGCTCGATCTCAATCGACTCGCCCGGCGGGATGAACGGGAAGTCGGGGTCGAAGCCCGGCGGGAACACCGGCATCGGGGGCGGCCTCGGCGTTACCACTGACGTCGCCGGCACTGCGGATGTCACCGGCGTCACAGACACTGACGCCGTCAGTGACGTTAGCACAGAGAGCGTGGTGAAGCTCCCCGTCGCCTCTATCGTCATCGCTGGCACGGTGGGAGTCCCGGAGACGGACGCGGGCGCTCCTCCGCCGCCGCTGCTCTCCCTCGAGGGGAAGATGACCGCGGGTGGGAGAGAGCTGAGGGCCGTGAGTCCGCCGAGAGCGGGCCGCGGCACCGGGATGATGGTGACCACGGGCCGCCGGCCGGCTACGATCACCAGCTGCTTTCCGGGGGCCGTGGGCCACAGGGCGGCCGGCACGGTCAGCGTCATCGCCGACATCATCATGGTGGGTGTAGGACGGGACGGGAACGGCACTGGCGGCGGCTGTACCGGCGGCTGTATCTGTGCCCCTGCGCCGAGAGTCGGCAGGACCTCCACTCCGGGGTCCGGGACCGGGGCAGGCAGGATCTGAGCCCCGGGGCCGGGAGTCGGCCGGATCTGAGCCCCGGGGCCAGGGGCCGGCGGCAGCACGGGCGGGTGGATCGGCTGGTGCGGTCCCGGAGTCGGCAGTGGGACCGGTCTGACTCCCCCGCCGGGACCCGGGGTCGGAGCCGGCGCCGGTGGGAGGACCGGAGGGTGGATCGGCTGGTGAGGACCGGGCGTGGGCAGCGGGGCCGGCGCCGGCTGCAGCGGCTCACCCGGCTGCAGGAGCGGCGGGGACACGGGCACCGGAGCCACCGGTCCCGGGGTGGGACCAGCGGGCGGCAGGACCGGCGGGTCCACCGGGATCACGGCGGGACCGGGTGTCGGTCTGGGGGTGGTGGTCCGCGGCGGGTCCACGGCAATCTCCGGCAGCGGGGCCGGTCCCGGAGTCGGCCTGGAGGGCGGCCACACCGCCGGGTCTACAGGCACCACAGCGGGGCTTGGGGTCGGCTCGGATGGCGGCAGAACTGCGGGGTCCACGGGGACCACCTGTGCGGGCGGCTCGACCGCGGGGGCCCGTGAGGGCGGCTGGGGCTCCCAGCTGGGCGGCTGTCCGTCGGAGGTCGCCGGGCCGGTGCTCGGACCGGCGCCGGTCGGTGTGACGGGCTCGGTGGGTTCGGAGCCGGGGAACACCGGCCGCTCCAGACTGTCGTCGGTGCCTGCTGCCGGTCTGGTGGGCGGCGGAGTGCTGCCGGCCGGCGGAGGGCCTCCTGGGAACGGCGTGGGTCCGCCGGCGGGCCGGCCGCCCGGCCAGAACGGCGGCGGCCGCGCCGGGCCGGGCCGGCCGCCGGACCCGGTCTGGGGGCGCTGCGGCGCCACACAGCCCAGCTCCGAGGCCCAGAGACGCAGGTCCAGCGCAGGCAGGTGGCGGCACTTGACGCGCTGATTGGACCTGCGATAGGCGGAAACGTGTCAGCAGGAGAGACCTCGCAAAGATGCATGAGGCATCGCGCTTTTCGAGGGTCGTCGAGGCTGGTGAAGTAGTTGGTCCTCGACAGCCAGGCATGCCAAGAACTCAAGCTAACACTCAGATGTTCAGTAAGTGTCTGCACGTATGCAGAGTTGCCTAACAGCTGACTTAATAGCGCAAGCCTCAATCTCACGCACCGTACGAAATCGACAATAAATGTCACTGTGTTTGTTATTTGATTGACCGATTGCTAAAGCGATTGACAGTTTCTGACGACCACTTACGTGTCGTCTGGTTTGAACATGATGTCGGGCTGGATGGTGGCCAGAGCCGAGTTGTCGCAGATCACCTTGGAGAGGGTCACCTTGCGGAGCTCCCTCAGTTGGGCTGTGGGGAGAAGGGACAGAGATTAGCTGGGCTGTGGAGAGAGGGCGGGGATGTCGTCAGCTGAGCTGTGAATGGATCAGCTGGGTTGTGGAGAGCGGAGATCCTGTCAGCCCTCCAGTCCTGGGACTGACAGTCCTGTCAGTTAAACGGGCAGCTCTGCCAGCCAGGCTGGACCACTCTGTCAGCTGGGCGGCTATCTCTATCAGATGTGCAGTGGAAGGGCATCTCTATCAGCTGAGCGGTGGAGGGGCATCTCTATCAGCTGTGCGGAGGCCAGCTGTAGCGCCTCTATCAGCTGGGTCTGTGGTCGAGCCGTCCGGTAATCGCCATCCGACAGTCAGGGAGTGGCTCTCCATTTGCACACTGCACACATACTCGGCAGTGGGACGCTCATCGGGATGCGCTCCATCCGATGGATTATTCAGTGTCGGCTCACGTCCAGTGGCACGCCGAAAACCGGCCAGCCTGTCGTGACGACGATACAAACGAGCGTTATACAATCAGCCCAAGCCGTTCGAGGACGGTTTGCAATTGAACAGCGCTGAGATTCTTCACGGATTCCAATGACATACGCTCGTTACGGATGCATCGGTAAAATCGACGTTTGTAAATAGTTCCTGGAATTGAATTGAGGACATTCATATTTATAGGAAGGCATTGCTGCAGAAACTTTGGACATGGCATGTGCTACTTCTTCTTGTTGAAAACCATTGAAATGCCGGGATGGAGATATTTTACATACGAAGGCATGGTCACCGCTTACGTTTTGCTCATCATACACAATAAGACATAATATGTGCCCCGATACGGTACATAGATTTGGATAGCTGATAGCTCCCGATCATAACGACATCTGTATAACTATCCGCGAGTTGCCACATCCTGGGGTGGCAGGGGACCAATTTTATAGACGTTATTCAGAAAGTGCGTCGTGCACGTGTTTTGTCAGCAGGGCGAGATTTCCGAAGTTTCTAAGCTCGGGGTCGGACTGTGCCGAGGCCGCCTCGGGCCTCAATTTTGCCCCTCCGCCGTTCGTCGTTTCTCGGTTTGGAGCTGGCTACAGCTCGGCTCTGTCCCAGACGGGTTTGGTTCGGCTATCGGTCCAGCTGACCTGTAGTAGATGAGAACCTCTGCTCCCACGGCCAGCTGACCTGACTCTGACCTGACGGACCGCCGCGCCGGCTCTTTACTGACCTGACGGACCGCCGGTCCTATACTGGCGCAGTGTGACCGCCGATCCTAAAGAAAATACTGACCTGGCGTGAACGAATGGCGTTCGTCGCCGTTCTCGTACCAGAACCGATCGCCCCTCCTCAGCGTTTGGAACTGATTGGCCATCAGACAGGCCAGTGTGGGCCCGACCAGGGCGCCCTCCAGCGGCGTCTCCAGCAGACCGCCGACGTAGAGGTCCACGTCGGCCAGGTCCCTACCGAGGCGGCGCCACCGTCAGCCATAGACACTGCTGCCACCTCCCGGACATAGGGGGAACTAAACGGGCAGCTGCAATTACGTTATACAGCACATTCCGGGCGGGATCTTATATCGCCATGAAATATGAGACAGACCGCATGCATGCCCGGTGACAATAAAATCCGAAACGATGTCATGAATCAAAGTGATGGCTCTAAAGAAGACGCTGCAAAAACGGGGGGCGTGACGATTCGTTCCGTTCCGTCCCGACGGCCCTCATCATGATTAAGACCGCCACGGCCCATTACTTGTAAGTGGTGATCAGCTTGGCCACCGCCAGCGGGCTCATGACCGTCTTCAGCTGGGCGAAGCTGTCGACGGGCGTCAGGCGGCAGGCGCGCCTCCATTGGACGTAGCTGGGCAGGCCGTGGTCCCGGCCCCGCTGGAACAGGGCGAGGGGCACGGTCAGTGCAGCACGGAGGTCAGAGCAGTCTGAGGGACACGGACCAGGCCGAGGGACGCGCCCAGTGCGGCACAGAGCTGAGGCCGTGGTCCCGACCCCGTTGAAACAGGGCGAATGACATGGTCAGATCGCTACGGCGGTCAGAACGGTCTGGGCGACACGGATGTGACAGGGGAAGGTCAATACCAAGGAGAGTGGTTACGGTCACAGAGGAACAGGATGTCAGAGTGAGAAACACGAGGTCAGGTCAGGTATTGGTGTATTTGTGTAGTTGTGTCAGCGCGCTCGATATCTTCACGAAGTCACTTCTTAGTGCTTCAGTGGTTCATATTTGTGTGGTCATATATTCTGAGAAAACGTCGCTTATTTTGCCATCTTGTTATCCGTGAATAATCGTTACACTGCCACAACACCGCACCAGCCCATAACGTCAGTGTTTGTGCACCACAACTGCGGTCCAAACGCCGAGTCATCTCCGTACTAAAACAGTTTCAGCAGCGTGTAAAGCGCTGCTTTGTTGCCGTAACGCTGAACATGCTTACCTGCACCCACCCGTGACCCCTGACGTGAGCTGATGCCAACGAACTGCACAGTGCACACGATTACCAACACATTGCAGAATTTTGCATTAAAGCTCGCAACAGCCACGGAATGTTCCATGAATGCGGCGTTAAACACACGAGGTAGACGTATTCCCACATGTGTGTTCCCCTGCTCTCACAGTGTAGGAGGGCAGGGGTCAGCTCCTACCCCGGCTGACGGTGGGTGAATCAGTGACGGCCCCCGTGTGGCTGCATCGGTCGCCGACCGCCGATGGCGTGTGGCCCTCCAAGGTCGGCACGGTGATCACCCGACGCGAGCAGCGCACCTCGGGCCGCTTTTTACGAGCGTGACGGCGCGCGCCCGGCCGCAGGAAGTCGCCCCCGCCGCCGCCGCCGCCCCCGCCATCACTTACTGAGCCGGCGGCCGCTGCGCCCGAGCTGACCGCGGCCCGCGATGCACGGCTAATTCACCGTCCGTGGGACACCGTCGGCTCCCGGTCATGACCCGTGGCCGCCGCCCGGAGCGACGCTCGTCAGTTCGGCAAAAAATGGACCGCGCTTCATTTGTGTTGTTTGGTCGGCGGCGGCTGGGACGCTGATTGCGGTGTCGGGCGGCGGTCCCCTGGGCGGCCGGCTGGGACGCTCTGGGACGCGCTGGGGACCGCTGGGAGTCGCCGCGCGCGCTCCCACCGTGGGACCGCCGGACAGACACTGGGACCTCACCTGGATGTTCAGAGCACCCAGGTCCAGGCCGAACGCGGCGCCGGGCGGCGCGAACAGACGGTTACGGATCGTATCCACCAGGTAGTTGTCCGCCTCGCTACTGTTGGCGTTGGCCAGGCCTGGAACACGAAATGGACAGTCGGATGGTTTCGCGTATGTGTAGATAAAATATATGTTTAGGGACACGAGAAGACTGAAAAGGGTTTCAGTTCGGATAGCAAAACATTTCGATTCGCGTTTTAAGGACGACATTTGTTGAATGCTGCAAGACGAATATTTGACCGGAAGATGGTTTTACAGCCGCTTAATTAGCCTTCTAAAGGTTACATGTGTCCAATGAGTCGAGTGACGCCGATGTTATCGCGCAGCGCGCCGGTCGGGACGAGGGCCTGCGGTGGCCGTCCGGGTTCATATCGCGCCGCGACTGGTCACCGGGAGAGGTCACTCACTTCGCGACGTCACTCGACAGGAAATGGACCACTCTTTTAGTCAGACACTCTGCGCCGGCGCTCCTCTAATTGGCTCTATACACAGAGCAGTCATTAAATCACTAGGGCACTTACCGAGCTGTAAAGTTCACGGGCGCTATTAAGATATGAATCGGCACCGGAGACCACAATACGATCTCCAGTAACGCTTATTTGTCAAATCAAACCGTAAATGCTCATCATTCTTACGTCGACAACAATGCACGGTGAAATTCAATTTCAATGCCGTCATTAAAACTGGGCAGGGACAAACAGTCCTACCTAAATATAGCATGGGAACTGACATCATGAACTCGTCATCACATAATTGTGACTTAAATATGTAGATTACCTGACCTTTCGGATGGCATTTCTGTGTCGTTACGAAGACGGGCAATTAATCTACCGTGCCCATGTATTCACTAGGTAGTACCGAAATCCACTTATCTATCGTATACCCTTACCGGCCATGTACTCGTCTATCCTGCCGGGGTGGTAGAGCGAGTGAGGTCGGAAGAAGTTCTTGTGTAGCGCCACGCCGGCCAGCTTGGTGTGCCAGGGGGTGAACAGCATCAGGTGGTCGGGCACCAGCGTGTGGCCGAACCTGGAGAACGGAGTCGTACGGCGATCAGTACAATACAACTATGACCATGAAAATATGTTTGAAATATCTTAAAACGGATTTATTTGATTTTGCAGCATTGTTAACGAAAGCATTATAACGGTATCTGCATCTAAGGAGGAAAATAATTGTTGATATGCAATTTCTTATGTAAGTTAAAAATTAAGAAGGGTCTCGAATAATGATAAAAAGTCTCCGTTTACAAATATACGAATTCTTTCGACTAAATCCGTTTGTTGCATGGTAACATGCAATGCAAATAATAGGAGTGAGACAGGCGTGGGATCAAATAATGGACCATTGTATTCAAATATTATTATTAAATGTCAGCTAGATAAAATACGAGTAAAATATGCAGCAAAGCAAGAAAAACATTAGCATAGCCTTTGTTTACGCCTTTCCATATTTATGGAGCAGCTGTGTCTTTGAAAATACGCTCCCCTAATCGTCTCTCTGTACTGGATGCCCTGGAAGACCTACCTCATGGCTCCGGTGGCGAAGACGTTGGCGATGGTGGCGTCCACGTCGGGGCTGTAGTCGCTGAAGTAGCCCTCCTGGAGGGGCTGCAGGCCGTGGCGGGCCGCCAGCCGGGGACCGACCACCAGCGGCACCCACTCGCGGTAGGTGACGTGCTGCAGCATGGCCGCCACCAGACGGCGCGACTCCTGGGAGAGATAGGGGGACAAACGGGACCGGACGGTCAGTCGGGAGACAGACGGAATGGGGCAACACTAGTCAGACGGGAACAGCCGGCAAGACTCCGGACAGGGACGAATGGGACGGGACAATACTCAGACAGGAAGACCTGCAGGAATCCAGAGACGGACAGGGCTAGACAGTGCAGTCAGTCGGGGAAATCGGGGGGATTCCTTAGTGGGGCAAACAGAACGGGAGCGGACAGTGGACAGTCAGTCGGGGACACTAGTGGGACTCCTGTGCGGGACAAACGAGGTGGGGCGAGACGAGACAACCAGTTGGGACCAGCCGGTGGGACTCCTAACAGAGACGGATGGGCGGGACAGCAGTTGTCCGACGAGGTGAACACCTAAGCCGTCTGACAGTGAGGAATTCATCAGTCAGGACTGCCGCTGGTGAAGTCAGGGGTCGGCCGTCAGTGTGGGCTAGCTGGTTGACGATCCTGACTGCAGTTTAGGTGCGCGTCCGACACACGGCATTCGACGTCACTCAACTGTCTCTGCGATACTATCGGACTTCGAGATAGGCGATCTAAGGTAAAGTAATGTTGTCATTCTGCGTAATCATTTTGGAATGCATAGAAACTTGAAGATTTTGATATTGGATGCATCCAAAGGTGGATTAGTGTGCCGAAGCGAATTCCCAAGACTAATGCGTTTCCGGCATAAAAATGTACATCGTCTGTCTGGTCTAGTAATAACGCTATGTCACATGTGCCTTTTCCCAGCAGAAAGTAATTTTGCACAACGATGCTTTCCTCTTACGACTGAGAACCGGAAAGTCTGGGAATGCCTCATAAGTGTCCATCACTGTTGCTCATGACAGTGCTTTCCGGCCGGCGTAGCGCCGCGGCCGGTGCCCCGTCCTCCCCTGCACAGTGTTCTCAGCCCGGTCAGTGCCCGTGCAGCGCTCCCTAATGACGGGCGCGGGTGCACGCCGGTTCCGGCGGCGGGACTGCGGCCCGGTCCCCGCCGCGGCCCCGGGTCTCACCTGGAACAGCGTCTCGTCGTCCCAGGCGGGGCAGTAGCGCTGCAGTCGGCCGGCCACCCGGTTGTGCTCTCGCAGCCACAGAGTGTGCAGGGTGGTCAGGTCCGGCTGCTCGTTCACACGGATATCGCCTGGGGAAGGTTTCAGAGGGTTGGCAGGGGACAGAGCAGAGAGAGGGCGAAGATTATGCGAGCGACTCGGCACGGGAAAAGTAGACATAAAGGAGGGGTCAAAATAAGATGGTGTAGTTTTCCTAGTTTTCCCAACGATCTACGATACCAAGGAGCAATGAGCTAATGACACAAATATTTTGTTGTAATTTGGTACGTGCGTCACTTCAGATCTTCTGGACATGGAATGCGTGCAATTGAGCTTCAAGTTGGTTGACTTACTTATATATAACCTGTTCATTTCTGGCCTCTATTAGTTTTAGCGTGCCGCAGTGATTAAGGACAGACAAGACAACGCGCATTGATTGCTGGGCCATTTTTTATCGCTAATCCGAGTTCCGACGTCGAGTGGCATCCTCCCAATTCCTACTGCGTTCGGCCCAGGCCACCGCTGGTGACTGCATCGGAGCAATACAAGCTAACACCCGCACGGCGCGCGACCAGCGGGAGATTTCATCGCAGCACACGACAGTAGCACTGATTGCCTTCATATCGTACTGCTTTGGTGGAGTGTATGCCCCGTTTCCGGCATCGTGTATCATATAGTTTTCAATTGTACACTGTGTTCTCCTTAAGTTATGCTTGAAAAAGGTTTGCTTTGTTTCATATGTTAAGTGTCATATGTTTAAATATCAAGGGCACTTACATGTGCTCCATTTATTCATATTGGTATTTTCATATTAAAAACGGCCCTTTCTCTGATTAAGACATGGTTAAGATTTAGGTATAAAAAATAGGGAATGGATATCATATGTCCTTGCCGATGACATTCATTATACAAAAGGAAAAACAACGCCCACAATAATGTACTCTAAGCCCTCGTGTGCTGTAATTGGACTCGGCGCTAACTGCACTCACACTACCCGACCCTTTCTGAGTGTTCCCACCACCGGCGACTCACCCGACTGGAAGCAGCGGACGTCTCTGCGCTGTCGGATACAGCCCCCCTCGTCCTCAGTGGTGGGCAGGCGGCTGTCCTCCGTCTTCATCCGACCGCCCTCGAACTGCCGGAGCCGGCTCATCTCGGCGTCCGAGCTGCCGTACACCACCGAGCCGTCTATGTAGGAGGTCACCTGGTTCACCTGCTCCCGAGGACCTGGCGGGGACGGCAGCGTGCCGCTAATTAAGCATCCTAATTTAGCCCAAAAAACGAATAACTGGCGCCCAGACGACTATGAAATGACGCCTTGATTTGGTCAGTTTTGATGCGCCTGTGGTGGCATGCCGTGTCATTAGGAGCTGATGACCGTGCTTCCTCAGTCCGAGGAGGCATTAGGAATTATCCAGCGTGAAGGGGGTAAATGAAGCCACAGTCGCGCCTGCTGATAGCCATTATCGAACACAATCACTGCCAAGTCGATAGAAGGGTATCGCATAGAGTTCTGCCGTAGCCGCGGAGTCTCGTGTTTCAAGTTTTTCAGCACACGCCACGGTAGCTCTGTATTTGTTAGAGGCTCTCCACGCCGCCCCGACATTTATATACGATATGTTAGTGAGCCGCCGGTTTTTGTGACTCGTTTTAGGGCATGTTTTTCGGCTAATTCACCACACGAGCCATATTTTATGTCGCCGTCTGAGCGCGTATGGGCGAGAACTATGACAAATAGTTGTCTGCTCGTCCGTTTGTTGATGGTTGCCGGTCCAATTTCGGCGCCGTCCGGTGATGGAGCGGGGGCGGCTCGCCGTAGCCTCCGCCCGCGCGCCGGCCGCCTCGCACGTAATGACCGCCGCCTGACGACCGATGCATGGACGGGGTTCTCGGCAAAGGGTGCCATTAATCCCACGGCAGGTGGCTGACCGGCGCAATTAACGCCGCAAACAGCCTTAGACCGTATGTCCCGGAACAATGCCCGCAAATCGCCGCAGAGATATACGGCGACGGAAGCGTAACAAGTTCAACGCACGGAAACAGTGTTGCGATAAATATTGGTCAGTACGCTCACAGAAAGCTGTCAATCACAACCGAGCGACACTGGATAACGGCAGCATCAGTTAACACAACCGGCGGGGAGCGGGCTTCACTAAACACCCGGCGGCTCTGGATGGGCGGCAGACGACTCACCCAGTCCGCAGCCGTTGTGCAGGGCCGGCACGGAGCGGGCGAACTCCATACACGTCTGGCCGTGCTCCCGGTACAGGCTGTCCCCGCGCGGCACCGAGATCGGGTAACAGTCCGGGTGCTGGCCGGGGTCCGACAGCCCGCAGCACGAGACCGGCCGGCCGTACAGGGTGGCTGAAAACGCAGAGACACGGCCAAATACAGCACCGGCGCCGACAGAACGGATCATCAGCGGAACGCACGACGGGCTTATGTAAGGAGACTGGCCATTGTTCTGTTATTCGACACACTTATCAGAATCTCTAAGAAATCCGCTGAAATCTCATTCAAAGCTAACTATGTCGATAAGGACTCACAGAAATCACATCAAGATTTAGACGGAACCGTCAACCACAGAATGCTTTGCATTGCATTTACATACATACGAGACTGTTTGACATCAAACTTTGAACGGGTATTGACGAGCCAGCCCTTACAAACAAGGAGGAAAAGAACGATCCCAGTACAAACAGATTCCGCGCAGTTGGTTGAAAGATAACCGGCGGGGGCGGGGGGCGCCGCTGACCTGTGCTCATGGGCGTGTGGGAGAGGTCGTGGTCGAGGAACTGGCCCCACTGCATCACCATCAGCGAGATCCTCTCCGAGAGCTCGGAGACCACCAGCGGCTGAGAGAGGCAGGCGGCGCTCACCCGGCGGGCGCTGGGCAGCGCCGAGCCGTCCGCCGCCGCACGGGGACTGTCCACCTCTGGCACAGAACACAGCGGGACGTTACCGGGGACTGTCCACCTCTGGGACAGAACACGGCGGGACGTTACCGGGCTGTCCATCTCTGGCACAGAACACAGCGGGAATGTTACCGGGCTGTTCACCTCTGGCATAGAACACAGCGGGACGTTACCGGGCTGTTCACCTCTGGGACAGAACACAGCGGGACGTTACCGGGCTGTCCACCTCTGGCATAGAACACAGCGGGACGTTACCGGGCTGTCCACCTCTGGCACAGAACACAGCGGGAATGTTACCGGGCTGTTCACCTCTGGCACAAGGCACAGTGGGTGCTACTGGGGATAACTGTTACAGAATACGGGGGGCAGCTCTGTCAAAGGGTACAGGGGCAGGGGTAGTTGGAAAAACTGTGTCGCATAGCACATTTATGGTGCTGTTAAGGAGTGAATATTGAAAGCTCAGGTTATCTATTTTTTTCTTCTTTTCAAATTATTCATTCACTCGTTCATTCATTCACTCATTTATTCATTTGGTCACTCAGTCATTGGGACATTGATTAATTCCCGTATTCATCCATTCATTCATCTATTAATTTATTTATTTATTCATTCATTCATCATTCAGTTACCTATCTACAGATGCATGCGTAAATATTTTCATTAAAGGGACCCTCCCACCTTAACATTAGATTTGAGTTGAGATAGCCAAAATGGGGTCCCTGGCTCACAATTACCGGTTTCGGCACTCACAACATCGAGAAATGCCTTAAATAGGAAATATTGAATTTCAAAATTGCAGCATTTTGATTCAGAGGGGCTAATGCATAGGAATACCCCTCTGAATGTGTGACGTCAGAGCAGATATCTAACGATTTTTAAATGTTTGACTAAAACGTTTTGTAGCACGCGGTGGTAAATGCTGCTTTGCGCGCAACAAATGCCGCACTTTCAAATAAAGTCGCTAGGAACAGCGGAGATCCCAAAAAGTAAACAAAAGTAAAAGTCTAATATCTTGAGAACCGGTGAATATTTTTTGATGAAATTTGGTAGATATTCGTTTTTGCTCTTTCTGAACCGAGCGACATCACTTTCATGCCAATTCATTAACTTTTTTGAAGGTGGGAGGGTCCCTTTAAATTAATCGGTAGTGCTCTTGGCTAGTTTTTAATCACTTTTTAGACATATGACAGCTTTTAAAGAAAGCATATCACTAACATGGGTTTTTTAACTGAAATGGCAATTTTGTAGCTTGAGTTGTAGGGGAGAGTGGGGAAAGATGCCCAGGGTTTTACTATGTCATATATTATTCGAAAATGACGATGGGAAAGCAAAAACTTGGAGTTTCAACGGAAGCCGACATCATTTTTCTCCAAAAATATCACACTTTCGTGCCTGAAATATTATTACTTTTTTTGCTATTAAGCATTTTCCTGAAGAAGTGAAAGGGGGCATCTTACCCAACAGGGTGGGAAAGACGCCCCCTGACGTTGGGAAAGATGCCCCCTGCACTAAAAGTGACATAAATGGGCACGTGAATCGCCTGAACGAATCAGTAGTCCCTTCGAGCCTGCAGTAGACACCAAACGTCATCATAAGGGCCCTCAAAAGTAGTCGTAAGGGGCTTCAGAGGTCATCGTTAGGGCCATCATAGTCCAGCGCGGCCAAACAAGCCTCCGTGGTGGCGTTCGGAGACCACTGTGGGGCTCTTATAGGTCTTCATGATGCTTGAGGGCCCTCGAGCCCATCGTGGGGACCTCCGATGCCAGTGCGGCCCGTGGGGCCAACGTGGGAGCCCTCAAAGGATGTCGTGATGGGCCCTGGATCCAATAATTGGGCCCACAGAGGCCGTCGTGAGGGCTCTCAGAGTCAGATGCCGCCCAAAAAGTCGCTATGTGGGCCGAGAGACCGGCATGGGGAGCACCCGACCGTACTGGACTCTCAATAGTCCCAGATCGGCTTTTGTCTACATCACAAGTATGTAATAAATGATTTGACGGGCTGTTTGAAGGACAGCCTACGGATTTAGGGGGGCGTCTTTCCCCATCAGGACAGGGGGCATCTTACCCCAAGGTACCGAAGTAACATTAAATCAGTACAATTTGTTAGCCATAAAACTACACCATGAAACAAACTGTTTGGGACACAGTACACGCATGCTAATGTATCACGACTATAGCAAGGGACGCAAAAATTATTTACCTTCTTTGATATTTACAATGTTCTGACACCAAAATATTTTTTGAAAGCAGCAAATAAAAAACATGCAGTCATCAGCCAGCCGTTGCCCAACTGAGCTTCGCAATTTTTTGTGCCGTTAACAAGGCAGGCTTCCGCTTTACGCTAAGAACATTAATTTCCAGGTCCGATTCTTTGTTTCGTCGCTAGAGGGGGTGGGGCGTCTTTCCCACCCTGGGCATCTTACCCCACTCTCCCCTATATAATACAAATCAGGAGCATTTGCGGCCGAACGATCGCTCTAGGAAAAGATATTCCATTTCTCGTTTCCAAATCACTTCCTTACGGTTTACGAAGGAGTTTTCCCTTACAGAAGAATGCCAAGGATGGAGCCATCTGTGGTAGAGGCCAATCATCAGCCAATCAGCATGCAGTATGGACGGAGCTATAAGGTGATATGATTGGTCAATATGCAATCAGCTTCCGCTGCAAACACTATATAGCCTCTACCAAATACCGAAAATAGTTCTTCTTTATGAAAATATTTAAAAACGTAAATATTGTTTTCCTTTCTGATAATTTTGAGCATGAAATTATAGAACTGTAGCAAAAAAAAAATAATAATTTGAGGGAAGTGGTACGGCGTGTATTGTTGTCTAACACATAGGCACAGATACGTAAAAGCATAGATAACATGAATTACCTGGATTGGACACTCGTTTTTGGCGCGAAAAATAAGAGGCCACTTTGGCCTCTTATTTTTAATGACGTATTTTTAATCAGTATTTTGAGAGGCTGATATCTCAGCAACCGCTGGGCCGATTCGCCTGCGGTCTTTTTTGTTGGGTAGCTCCATCCCTTCTGCCCCGCAATTCACTTATCGTAGTGCATTCAGGTGACCGTCGTGGCACGTGGCACGTGAGAAGTTGGGGTGTTCAAGTCGTTCTGCTGGAGTAACTATTTTGAGAGGCCTATATCTCAGTAACCTCTGGGGCGATTGACTTGCGGTAACTTTTGTAGAGTAGCTGTATCTCTTCTAACAAACATTGGATACTCATGATGAACGTGAGTGACCCCCGCTGCACGTGCGAAGTGCAAAAAACAGAAGAGGTGTTATATTTGTTCCCATTTCAGTAACTCAGCAACTACTGCTGGGGCGATTTCGCTGAGACTTGGCATGCATGTAGGCACCCACCGGGCAATGCATATCCGTATGTCATGGTTGGGGTGCTATTGCACGTGCGCACGTGCAGGGGTCGCTTCCAGATCTCGAGAACGGCAGGACCGATTGCACTCAAATTTGGTACACGATTAGAGACCGGTGAGAAGGGTGCCGTGCAAAAGTCAGTTGGGACCCATATTGCACGTGCGCACGTGCAGGGTGCCGCTTCCAGATCTCGAGAACGGCTAGGCCGATTGCGCCCAAATTTGGCACCTCGCAAGAGACCAGTAAGTAGAGTGCCGTGCACCGGGTAGGTTGTAGCTCTGCGCGTGCTCACGTGCTCACGTGCACACCCCTCTGTCATATTTTAGGAACGGAGTGACCGATTGCAATGAAATTTGGTGTGTGATTGGATGCTGAATGTGTATGAGTTTTTCTAAGTCGATGAAGGTGAGGTAATGCACGTGCGACTGCGCACGTGCAGGGGTCGCCTCCAGATCTCGAGAACGGCTGGACCGATTGCGCTCAAATTTGTCACACGATTAGAGACCGGCGAGAAGAGTGCCTTACCAAAGTCAGTTGGGACCCATATTGCACGTGCGCACGTGCAAGGTGCCGCTCCCACATCTGAAGAACGGCTGTGTCGATTGCGATCATATTTGGCACATCGCAAGTGACCAGTTGGTAGGGTGCCGTGCACCGAAGAGCCTGTAGCTCTGCGCGTGCTCACGTGCGCAGGTGCACACTCATCTGTCATATCTCAGGAACGGACGGACCGATTACAATGAAATTTGGTGTGTGATTGGATGCTGACCGTGTATGAGTTTTTCTAAGTCGCGAAGGTGTGCTTATGCACGTGCGCACGTGCACGAGCACACCCAACATTAACAGCTTAAAAACTGGAAGGCCGATTTCGATCAAATTTGCCGTGCGATTAGGGGATAAGACAACAAATTGCATTGACTGTGTGCATCAGAATAAGTGTGAATATGCACAACCCAATTTTTAGAGCTGACAAAACGAGCACGCTGGTGGTGATCAGATTCGGTTCATAATCGATAGCGTAGCTCGCTCAGGCTGGGTAGTACGGTCAGGTCAGGTATATACCTGACCTGACTGAAATCCCCAGTCTGAGCGAGCTACGCTATCGATTATGACCCGAATCTGATCACCACCAGCCTCTGCCCGTTTTTCAGCTCTAAAAATGGATTGTGCACCTTCATATGTGCATACTCACACCCATTCTGATGCACACAGTCAATGCATTTGTTACCTTATCCCTTAATCGCACGGCAAATTTGATCGAAATCTGCCTTCAGCTTGTTAATGTTGGGTGTGCACTTGCGCACATGCATACTCAGTGCTGGAGCATACAATAAATGCACTTTGTTATTTCCCAATCGCACACCAGCTTTTACTGAGATCGGCTAGTCCGTTTTTAGCTGTAAATATGGGGTGTGCGGTGTGCACGCGCGCACGTGCTTTAGCACAACTTCGTCGACTTAGAAAAACTCATACACGGTCAGCACCCATTCACACACAAAATTTCATTGTACTCGGTCAGTCCATTCCTAAGATATGACAGATGGGTGTGCACGTGCGCACGTGAGCACGCGCAGAGATACAGGCTCCTCGGTGCACGGCACCCTACCAACTGGTCTCTTGCGGTGTCCCAAATATGATCGCAATCGACACAGCCGTTCTTCAGATGTGGGAGCGGCACCTTGCACGTGCGCACGTGCAATATGGGTCCCAACTGACTTTGGTAAGGCACCCTTCTCACCGGTTTCTAATCGTGTATCAAATTTGAGCGCAATCGGTCCAGCCGTTCTCGAGATCTGGAGGCGACCCCTGCACGTGCGCACGTGCATTACCTCACCTTCATCGACTCAGAAAAACTCGTACACATCCAGCGTCCAATCACACACCAAATTTCATTGCAATCGGTCACTCCGTTCCTAAAATATGACAGAGGGGTGTGCACGTGAGCACGTGAGCACGCGCAGAGCTACAACCTACCCGGTGCAAGGCACTCTACTTACTGGTCTCTTGCGAGGTGCCAAATTTGGGCGCAATCGGCCTAGCCGTTCTCGAGATCTGGAAGCGGCACCCTGCACGTGTGCACGTGCAATATGGGTCCCAACTGACTTTTGCACGGCACCCTTCTCACCGGTCTCTAATCGTGTACCAAATTTGAGTGCAATCGGTCCTGCCGTTCTCGAGATCTGGAAGCGACCCCTGCACGTGCGCACGTGCAATAGCACCCCAACCATGACATACGGATATGCATTGCCCGGTGGGTGCCTACATGCATGCCAAGTCTCAGCGAAATCGCCCCAGTAGTTGCTGAGTTACTGAAATGGGAACAAATATAACACCTCTTCTGTTTTTTGCACTTCGCACGTGCAGCGGGGGTCACTCACGTTCATCATGAGTATCCAATGTTTGTTAGAAGAGATACAGCTACTCTACAAAAGTTACCGCAAGTCAATCGCCCCAGAGGTTACTGAGATATAGGCCTCTCAAAATAGTTACTCCAGCTGAACGACTTGAACACCCCAACTTTAGTCACGTGCCACGTGCCACGACGGTCACCCATGAACGCACCACGATAAGTGAATTGCGGGGCAAAAAGGATGGAGCTACCCAACAAAAAAGACCGCAGGCGAATCGGCCCAGCGGTTGCTGAGATATCAGCCTCTTAAAATACTTATTAAAAATCCGTCATTAAAAATAAGAGGCCAAAGTGGCCTCTTATTTTTCGCGCCAAAAACGAGTGTCCAATCCAGGTAGTTCGCATAGTCGAATTTGCATAGCTATGGACATTCTAAATGTTCTTCTTGTCAATAGGCAGTATGATGAATTCTGACTGACTATGACAGCAGCACAGCTGTAATGAGACAGCTGTTACGGTGCTGGGCAGGCGGACGGTAGCGATCTCTGATATGAGGGGAGATAGATGAACCTGTACGGTGTGTCAGTCACCTCTCTGAGTTGATTGAGTCGAGCCAGCGACCCATATCTCCGTTGCATGTCATCGTACACCTCATACGGTGGGTAAACAGTTCAATGCTCCGCGATTGGGGCGGTCGGTGCAGCCGTTTTACGATAATCCGCCGACTCCGCGGACGTGCAGTGAATGATTGCGCCGATAAAGGGCCGGCCCAGCGCCGCTCGCGGCGGGCGGCCAGTTTGTATGTCATCGACGGCCGTCTCCGCTCGGGGGCCGGCTCGTTTCCAGCAGTGGTGCACGTGGCTGGCCGGCGCTCGGAGCAGTTCCCTTCGCCGAGCCGTGGGTAAATAATCTCGCCGCACGGCCGGCCGCCGGTGGCCGACAGCGTTCTGCGGTGGCGGCCGCGCGCGCGATAGCCGCCGGCTGGCCACAATCGCTCCCATAACCCGGCGCGGCGGCGACCGTCCCGGCGCACGCTGCCGACGGCGTCGCAAGAAAAACGGATATGTAGTTGGTCGGTGCGGCGAGCGAGCCGGCCGAGTAAACACAGGGTGCATAATTGGCTCGTTACTTCTTGGTAACGGTGCTAAAGCGTCGCGGCGACGCACCGGCCGACGCAAAAAGGTGGTCCGGCCGAGGGAGGGAGGTGGTCCGGCCGACGGACGCTATGGAGCGCTATTAGGGGAGGCACTGACCGGCCGCAGCCCGCCGGGCAGACGGGAAGAAGAGGAGGGGAGTGGTCAGAGACTGATCGGGTGCAATGACGAACAAGGCTGCAGCCTTTGTGCCCGTCAGAAACCGGCCATTGGAAATCCGGAATGCCCGCACGAGTGCTGAGAATTATGATGAAGGACCCATTGAGCAGATGAGGGGCCTCGTCATTCTGACGGGCAATTATAGCTGGCGTTCAGGAAATTATCAGTCACTAAAATCGTAAAATTGCACGCAAATCGCCAAGTAGGTAGATACTGAGATATGGGAAGCTCTAATAGCACGCTTGAACTGGAGCAAACAATTAGATAACGTAATTAAAGTAAAGTCACTCTTGACATCCTTGTCGTTGTCAGGCAAGACAAAAATAGGCAAGGATGTTTCTCAAACATGCCTGAAACTACATATCCGTATATCACGGCCACTACATATCCGTATATCACGGCCATTCATTCCAAAATAGAAAATCACTATATGTAGGTATCGATTGTTATATTGTTCGGGAAATTCCCTTATAGCAGTGCAAATAACCAACCTTCTAGCGGGAGTCCCTGTATGCAGTGCACCATTGGGCATTGGAGACATGAGTGAATATTCAATAAATACCAGACGCGATCCTCTGTCAACGGCGACACTTTGGTGAGATATCGCTGGTCCCTGCACACTGGGTGCAGGAGAGACGCTCAAATGGGAGAGAGAGAGAGAGAGAGAGAGAGAGAGAGAGAGAGAGAGAGAGAGAGAGAGAGAGAGAGAGAGAGAGAGAGAAGAGGGAGACCAAGAGAAATCCCTTTATTGGCAGAGTCCTGGTCCATGATGAACACATCAAGCAGCTAATTCGTAAACACACAGACATACAACGAGAGGGTACTTCCAACGGGCTTGTGCAAAGCACCCTTCTAACCGGTCGCTAGCGGTGTGCCAAATTTGAACGCAATCGGCCCAGCCGTTCCTGAGATCTGGAAGCGGCATTCTGCACGTGCGCACGTGCAAACGGGGTCCAAAATGACTTTTGCACGGCACCCTACTAACTGGTCACCAACCGTGTACCAAATTTGAGCGCAATCGGCCCAGCCGTTCTCGAGATCTGGAAACGCCCCCTGCACGTGCGCACGTGCAGTAGCACCCTAACCGCAACACATGGGAATGCATTGCCTGGTGGGTGCCTACCTGTATGCCAAGTTTCAGCGAAATCGCCCCAGTAATTACCGAGTTACTGAAATGGGAGCAAATTTGGCACCTCTTATTGTTGTATTTTGCACGTGCACTGGGGGTGACCCACATGCATCGAGAGTATCCTATTTTGGGTAAAAGGGATGCTGCTACCCTACAAAAACTACCGCAAGTCAATCGCCCAAGCGGCTGCTGAGATATGAGCCTCTCAAAATCACTACTTTTGCAAAACAGCTTGAACACCCTTGACTTTTCACGTGGCACGTGCCACAACGGTCACTGAGATGTATCAAAAGTAGTCAATTACGGGGTAGAAGGGATGGGGCTACCCAACAAAAAAGACCGCAGGCCAATCGGTCCAGCGGTTGCTGAGATATAAGCCTCTCAAAAGCGTTACAGGCCGGGCCGGGCCGGGCCGGGCCGGGCCGGGCCGGGCCGGGCCGGGCCGCTCATACTGAGATTTTTCCGTTATATTGAAAAGACTCACTTCGCTCGCTGCGCTCGCTCGCTCGTAAACAGACATGTGAGAACTGCACTTCCCTCTGTTTGTGTTTCCGTGCGGGCGCCCGCGGTGGTCTGGGCGGGGTGATACTGGGTACTCACTGTCGCCGTAGTCGGGCGGCAGGAGGCGCACGAACGCCGACCGGGCGCTGCCCCACCAGGAGAACTGCAGGTTGTTGCAGGTGCCGTCGGCGGTGCGGTAGCGGGCGGCCGAGTCGCAGGCCGGGTAGCGCGCGCCGTGGTGCGGCGGACACACGCGGCCCAGCCGGGTGGCCGCCAGGTCATACAGCGGCAGACGGAAGGCCACCTCGGCGCCGGAGAGCGCCAGCCTGCGGACAGGGCGCCGACAAACGACCGGTGACCCGGGGCCGAGCGGCGGCCACCCCTCCGTTCCGAGACTGATGTTATTATTGCGGTACCCGGCGGCGGCGCAATTAGGGCGAATTAGTGGCGCCGGGTCGCCGTGCCGGCCGATCCTTTGTGGCGCCCGCTGCCGTGACGGTCAACGGGAGCCGACACTGTCCGTCCGACGGAGACCGATGGAGTCGGCCGATCGCGGCATATCGAAAATCGCTCCAATCACACCGGCCGGACAGAAACAATTGTCCAGAGCGGCGGACAAAGCGGCGCTATTTATATCTCTCACTTTTCTATTGAACGCGTTTATTGTGTCTCTCTCCCTCTCTCTCCCTCTCCCCCCTCTCTCTCTCTCTCTCTCATCCTCTCTCTCCCTCTCCCCCCCTCTCTCTCTCTCATCCTCTCTCTCTCTCACACCTGTTTCTCCCGTTCTAGTTCCAGTCTCCTCCCCGTTCCCTCACCTTTTCTGCAGCAGCTGCGTGGCCCGGATTGCCGTTCGGGCGAAGTAGGAGTCGTTCAGGACCTCTTCCAGTGGCTTTCGGTGCATACCGTGCAGGCGGGAGGGGTACGCCGCCCCCGTTCGCGACTGGTTTTGAAAGCCTAAGGGGTAGCCATAAAGCATTCGTCAGTACGGTCACACAAGTAAGAAATAAGAATGTAATGCCTTGGCAAAACAAAGTTAAATGTTCACACACACACAAAAAAAACAATGGTGAGCGTGACGCGTGATTTCTAAAATCACTTAATCGTACCAGTTTGTTATGCTTAACAAAGTTCGACTGCGAGGGAAATCTTTTGTTGCAAGTTGCATTACCTCTTGTGCTTCTCCTTGCCACACCCTCCGGTAAGTTATTCTTTATGTGGATATGTCCACTGCCGCTGACGGCACCGCCGCGGGCGCCGGCCATCCCCGGTTTTTCGGCGGCGGCCGGTTTACGATGGGAGCCGGAGCTCGGAGCGCACTGCGGCCGCCGCCGGCCACCGGACTTCCGCGTACATACAGCACGCGGAGCCGGCCGCGGTGGCGACGCACTCGTAAAGCGGGGCACTCTCCGCGGCCGGTATGCGTCAATGGCGTCGTGGGAGCGGCAGGCGCTCGGAACCGCCCACACCGCTCCCAAATAAACGGCTCCGCGGCGGGCCGGCAGCGGCACTTTTTCAGAAGGGATTCCGTGGAAGAAGGATGAGTGGAAGCTGGAGTTCAATGCCTGGCGTATTAGTTAGAGTGTCAATGGATCATTCTTTGATAGCTACTTATAAACAATTACCTGAAGTGGATCGGCGATTTCGTTTTGTAATGTATGGGGTTAGCACGGCGGTCCCTATAAATTGATTAGAGCATACACGATTTACGACGTTAATTGTACGTTTCAGGAGCACATTTGTCGGCGGAGATGGCTAATGCAGCCGGCTGTGATGATCGGCTCACCCTGGGGGGCCTCTCGGGTGCGCAGGCTGTCCATCTCGTCTGTGGCCGTCGACACCACGTCCCCGAGCAGGTCGCCGCGGAAGGTCAGGTCGGCCGGCGGATCGATGTCGCCGAGCGGCGGACGGGGGAACTCGTTACCGAGTAGCGGCCGCAGGTTAAACAGGCCGACTCCACCGCGGACCAGCACCGAGATACTGTGGGGAACAGACGGGGGCAGAGAGGTCAGCTTAGGGGGTACTGCCGGGAACAGGCAGGTCAGCTCAGGGGCACTGCGACGAGGACGTCCGGGATATGAACCGAGACCCATCGACTGAGTGGGTCTTCAGAAACAATGGTAAACAGCAGCTGTCAATTCAGAGAGACGATGACTGGGGGATGGACCTGCAATGCCGAGACAGACGTCTTTATAATACTGAATAAAGACTGGCGGTAAGGGCTGTAGAAACATCCGGCATCCTTAAGTAGCTTGAAAAACACTTAACCGGCCATCCAAGTCATATTTGCATTCGTGCAACATAGGTGAGTCATGGCATTCGAATGTCTGCATGGTCATCCTTGTGTTTGTCTCTTTTGTTGTCGTATTAAAACATACCGAATCACGCATAAAAATCCACTTATCGTTTTTCTTCGCATGCTTGTCGAGTGCACCAAATGTTCGATGATAGCGCCAGGGCCGGACGGGCGCGTGTTTCGTGCGGGAGCGGGCGTTTTTATCGCGAGGCGCTGAGCCAGCCGTGGGCGAGTTCCAGTCCAATTTCGGCCGCCTCCCATGGCTCTGTCGGGCCTATACTTCCAGCCGGTGTCGGTGGTCCATGGCCCTTTGGTCTGTAGCTTCCAGACCGCTCTCAGTTTGTTCTTTCCGAACCGCTGTCGACTCTTTGCATTCAGTCCGCAGTTATTCATTTTCCCATTTGTCACCAACGTCAGGGCGACAGCCGACAGGCCGACATCACGCCGTTGAATGCAAGGCGACACGGTCCAGCTGCCGGCAATGGCCGGTGTTTGGTGGTTAGTGGTCGGTAGTCGGTCGGTACTCGATGGTCGGTAGCCGGCAGGCGGGCGGTGGGTAACGGGCGGTGCACACAGTCGGTGGGACCGTGGCGGCGCCGCGTGCCGAGGTGGCCGCCGCCGACCGTCCGCTGGCCACGACTCACGAGCTGCCGCCGACCGTCCGTGGCCACGAGCCGTTGCCGACCGTCGGCTGGCCACGACTCACGAGCCGCCGCCGCGCCGGTGCCGGAGTCGGTGCCGCTAGCGACAGCCGCGGCTGGACACTCGAGTAGGCACACCGTCTGTGTCGGTTTTGCTGGCCACTGCATTACAGGCTGTCACTAAGTAGTTGCCAATGGCCCAGCTTAACTTTATTCTGGGCTCGAGGCTGGGCTACCATCTCTTAACAATGCATCATAATGGTCATGGTTGTTCTGCAAGTTACAACATCTGAATTAACTTAAAGAAACCTGCTGCAACATACGAAGTACACAAGCCGCATGACAAAACGAGAAACTTGTGAAGTAGTTACATTAACCGCATGACAAAACAATCTAAACTCTGCACACCTTTGTAAAACCTCCGGTCATCCTAGGTGACTACAGAGGGTGACATCTGCATGCAGTTCCTTTGTGACCTGCCTCCGTGGCGTCGGCACCTGCTCGGCGCTGCCTAATCACCGGGCAGGTGGCCGGTAACCATTTGTCACCTCTGTCCGAGCGGCTCCCGCTTCCCAGCAGTGTTCTGGTGCAGGGGGCCGGGCCGGCGTGGACTGCAGCACACTGAGCGATACGACACTGCTCGAGGGAGCTAGTCGTCCGGCCGCAGGAGGACGTCCCTATGTCACCGCCCCCGGGATCTCTGACACGGGCCTCGGCGGTCACCGGCACAGTGGCTGTCTGCATTACTGTTCTGTGTTCACGGACTTACGGCAGCATGCTCGATGGAGACGGGATGGACGGAAAACTGACATCGAATCATGTTTGCGGGCTTGACTGACGACGAACAGATGACATAGGGACTTGCCTGATACAGATGCCGATCGTTTTATTCGATGTGGCTGTTGACGGGGCCACATGATCGCCCTCTGATATGCTATAAGTTATCCCGCTGCTATGTTAGTGTGTAAAGCTACGGGCGCTCTTGTGACTAATTACGAGTTCCTGTAAAAATTGACACGTACATGACGTCATCAAGTGGATCCGCTGACACCGACTGACCCCGGAGACTGCGGAGGACATATCAGGTGTCCTGGGGTGGCCTCTGACGCCGGGCGCCCCGCTGTGCCCCGGGACTGACGGCCGGCCGCCGCACACGGCCGCTGTCAGTTTCAGTGGGGATGAGGCCCGGCCCTGGGACGAGCGCCCCAGGAGCCGGCTGGCGACTTTTTGTCCTTATTAATTACCACTCAGGAAACGGATCCATCAGACGCTGTTTGTCACTTTAAATGCAGTATACATAATTAATTTGTCACCGTTTAAATAAGTACTCGAGGAATATACCGACCAGTTGATAAAGCACCGTGATAGCTTTGTTACGCCCCCATACATCATTTTATTATGCAGTTATTTGTACCGGAGCACGCATTTTTCAAATCTTACCACTCCTGATTATAAATATAAGCCCATTGTTCGACACCCACACAATGTGGCTGTGAACAGCTAATTCGGGAATGTGTTTGTGGTAAGTGAGGTTGCTACCGCAGTGTTATTTACCTGCATATTACTTTGTGACGTCATAACCTGCGCCACGACCAGAACCGTGCCCATGTGGGTCTGGGTGATGGCCAAGTCACAGCTGTTATGGTCAGGAAACGGCAGTCACTTCCAGTGATTCTGGCATTGATCAATGAAAAATTGTCGATTGAATGTGCTGGGACTGCTGGTTGAGTCCATTGGCTACTTGACAAGGGAAAACAGGGTATTAATGAGTTTTACACATATAATAGACTTCTTGCCAAGGCATGATTCTTAGAAATGTCAAATAACAATACAAACCTGGTGAAATAAGCATTCCAATAAGCCGCCCTGTGACTGCCAGCCGGCCTACATAGCTGAGTTGTGACCTCCCAATAACTGGATTCACCGTTCGATGAGCGGCCAAATATGAGCCACTGGGGTGTCGCGCGCCACCAGTCCCCCGGCGGGCCGGACCGGTGGACGGTGACGACGCTCTAATTACTCCACCGGTGCGCACCCTGTCCGTACATGTCCGTACACAACATGGTCCTGTGCACCGCTGGATAGGGTAATGTCAAAACCGGTGTAGGTATATTTAGCTATCCGTTCACCCTGCGATCAGGCCAGTCACCGGTTCCATGAGTGAGCACTTAGCGGGAGTGGCAGCGTCCGTCCGAACCACACACGCTCCGGGCTCATATGGCCCCGCTGGGTTTGCGGGCTATCCGTTCAGCGGCGGTCATCCACCCGGCCGGGGTCAGTCCGATCGTTTTGGGTGTCGCGGGAGACTCCCATGCGCTACTGCACTCGGAAATAACCACGCCGGGCCGCTGGGAATTATCGGAGCGCTAAGCCGCACGGGCCGCCGGCACCACGCGGCGCCACTAATGGCCGGCCGCGGTGCTCGGGTGCAGAGAGCCATTGGCCGGCCTGGGTCTGCCGTGGGCCGGCCTGGGTCTGCCGTTGGCCGCTTTGGGTCTCCCGTGGGCAGGCGTGGGTCTGCCGTGGGCCAGCCTGGGTCTCCCGTGGGCCGGTCTGGATCTGCCGTGGACCGGCCTGGGTCTGCCGTTGGCCGCTCTGGGTCTCCCGTGGGCCGGCCCGGGTCTGCCGTGTGCCGGCCCGGGTCTGCCGTTGGCCGCTCTGGGTCTGCCGTTGGCCGCTCTGGGTCTCCCGTGGGCCGGCCCGAGTCTGCCACTGGCCGGCCTGGGTCTGACGCTGGCCGGCCTGGGTCTGACGCTGGCCGCCCTGCCCTGGGTCTGCCGTTGGCCGGTCTGGGTTTGCCGTGGGTCGGTCTGGGTCTGCCCAGGTTGCCGTGGGCCGGCCTGGGTCTGCCGTGGGCCGGTCTGGGTTTGCCGTGGGCCGGCCTGGCCCCGCCCCCTGTCTATTCGGATCAGTGGGGACAGAGATCGAGATCGTCTTGCAGTGGGTGGGTTACGGGGTTCGAAGAGGACGGCGTGCAGGTAGTGACGCTTGCTTGCAATAAAAACGTCACTTCGCCACTAGATCATGGGGAGATGAAAATGGTAGACTATTCCCTAGAGGAAAAAGCTGACGTTTAGGCGTTTAGAAGTGAATGCATGTATAGGTAAACCTTAGGCTCTCTGCAAATAGTCAGCGTATAGTTAACATATGATAACGTCAGCCATTTTTCATTACAATTCATAACTACATATGATCTGCAGTGACCACTGACTGAGAACAAATCCTTTATGGATGACATTCGACTGAGCAGATATTTGGACAGGACGATAGCGGTCTATCGTAATCGGCGCAGACTTTATCGTGTACAACACTAAATATGTTACCACCATCTGAGCCATTGAACGCCTGTAGAAAGGCGCCGTTCTAAAAAAAAAAAGAAATGGTATAGATAGTTAATTGAGTTTTCACGTTAACGCTTAACATTAAAATATACTATGGGTCAGGAAGTACTTTCAACAAAAAACACGCAACAATGTTGAAAATATTACATCTCGTAAAAACAAGAAGACTTAGCATGAGAATACGTTATCGTCGACAAAATAGCAGCATTTATATCAAACTCAAGTACCTTAACCACCGGTTTGGGAATAAAACGCGTCGAGACTTCATGACATCGTGTCGTTCACACCCGCTTGTTACGCCACTAGTGGCCGGAAAAGGCGGGCAATCATCCCACGAAAAACGTCCGCGCTTTCCAGCGCCACTTCTTTCGGTGCTCTAATGGTTCGCTCGCGTGCGGCAGACTCTCGGGCCATCGACTTCTGATCAGATGTTTGGCGCCACTATAAGACAGCGCTCTCACATAAAGATACGATCGAAATCAATCTGTGGTAGTAGACTACCGTATAGTGACTTATTTCAGAGATGGAGGCAGATGTTGCTCTGATCGAATATCTGTTTTAGTAGTTATGAACAAACGGCTCGGAGAGTGGCAGGGAAATAAAAAAAATGATCTAGTCTTTTCTCGGATATAATCCGTACTGCTCACAGTGTTTACAACTATGCTGCCAACATTACAAACTTTTCGATATTGCGTGACTATTGATGGATTGCATGGTTTCTGTTTAATGAATTTTGCTGTGCATTATGAATTGTGCTGTCGTAAACAGAATAAACTTAATTTTGTTATGAGTGATATAATGTACATCAAAGTCCGATATTCTCGTCTTAATTATCACTTTGTAAACGCAACAATATGAACGATCACTTGCACAGCTTGCTTGTCATTTCTATAGACGCGTTATGAGCACTTTACGTACCTTGTTTTATTTGTAGGTATAGGTACAGACTCTTGCTAAAAGCACGTTATATGGCTCCATCAAATTCCGAATGTATCGAATTGACCGTTGTTGATTTTATAGAGAATGCGTCGTGAGCTCCGTTGGCATGCTCTTAATGCGGTGAAATGATCCTTGCAAGATTGCGGTCATTGACCGTGAGCAGCATGGGATAGCCACTGATAGGATGCTTTTACGTCGTTCACCGAATAATTGCACATGAGTTATCATTAGGTAATCTACCTTAACAAGGATTTCTGACTGAAAAACCGTGTGAAGTTGCAATATGGTCTACGGCATGGTAGCGAAACATCATTCAAAGTAAGATTCACATAAACGTTTCATGAAGGGGTAGGTACTTCGGTACTGACCTGAGCAGCCACAGCGCCCGGGGCGCTCCCGGCCGCAGCAATGCCATGGTGTTGCTCCCCTTCTAGTTCCTCCTGGACATGGTGAGGATCCTCCCCGACTCTGCTCCCGCCGCTCCCTTCGGTGTGAACGGCAGCGGCACTGTCACCAACAGCTGGAGCGATGCACTGTGACTGGTGACTGATTGACTGACCGACCGGCGACTGCAGCAAACAACCTCAGCAGGGCGCCGCTCCTTTAACTCCAAAACGATCAGTTCAGTTTGTCATTAATCAATTTGCAGCGCGCCAGTCCTGTTTTTCGCCGGTTGTCTCGGTTGGCCGGCGTCGGGTGAATCCTATCCGACTAGGTTTCAGAGAAACGGTCGGACACGATAGGCTCAGCAGAGTGTCCTCGCAGGAGCTGTGACTTTAGTCTCTTGCTGGCAATAACTCGGAGTCGATTGAGCCCTAAGCGGCGTTCCAGGAGCTGTTTTAGCAGGAGGTCGTCTACGAGTCACGTCTAGATTTGTGTAAGCTCGTCTTGTTCAGGACGTTGCTCTGCCGAGTCGGGACGGCAGCCGGTCTGGGTGGCACGAGCACGGGACACTTCCGACGGTGCGATCCACCGCGACCGCCCCAGCCAGCACTACTGACGCCCGCATAACGGCTGCGTCGTATTAATAGTACCCATGGCAGCGGCGGCGGCGGCGGCGGCGGCGGCAGCGGAACCGCCGGCGGCGCTCGGCGCTCCCTGCCTCTGTCTCACACAGCAAACATAACGCACATCATACTGCATGGAAAATATAGCTACAACAAATCATCAGCCATGAACACCGCGCAGTGGACAGGAAGTGCTTCACCGCCCGCCCGAAACATGTTCATAGGAATGCAGGCTGCATTGAACTGAACCGGTACCGGCAGATGTCCTCGGAGAACTCAGATATCGGATCATCGGTTCCAGATCATAGGATGCATTTTTATCAACCGATTGGGAGGAGGGACAGAAGATACGGTTCACATATTATGAAGCGGGTGAAATACTTCATATTCCAATATTAAGCAAAAACATTTATGAAAATCAAGTATACCTATTCCACATTATTTTCTCGTGCATCACAGAATGACGATTTCATTGGTGCCAATCCTATATATACAGTGGTGTACTTCCTGATTCGGTGATCTGGACTCCTGTCAGCCCTTTTATCGCTCCTCTATCCGCGAAATATCTGATCAGACTTCCAAATGACATTTATGAGCCCATCGATACACTGGAAACATATCGAATGAATGTTTTATCGGTCGGATGGTTGAACAAATGCAACTGGCCACACACATTACTTGTCAGATCAATTCTAAATGGTAATTTTTACGCTTTCAATTATTTGTCGGCACTCCAGCCACGATAGAGACGTACCAGTTATTTCAATAGGTAACACCCAAACCCTAAAAGCGACAAGGAATTAATTGAGTGCACTTTAACCGGGCATTATATAAAACGGCGCGATAATTTATCATCGCTCTCAATACACGTAATACGGAAAATGTAATATTGCATGATTTCGAATAAGAAGGTGCGCTCGAAAATTCTATGAGTTAAAGTTAATACCGATTCATAGCTAGAATCATGCTTAATGAGATCTTCCTTCTTTAATGCTATTTGTATTTTAACTCACGAGCCCCTCGCTGGGGGGAGGGGGCATAAAGTTGCCCTCCTTTACGTTTTGTGGAATATCTCCGAAACCTGATGAGCTACCGACGTGAAACTTGGCATAGCTTCAGGGAAATGCCTAGAAAATGTTTGAGAAAAGTTTGGTGGTTGTAGCATTTAAGATAACATCACAGTGACGTCATTAAGTTTTGTCGTTTTCCGATATGGACCGTTTCTGATGTCGCTGAGCATGAAACTCAACTGTAAATGAACTAGACAGCAACTACTGTCATCCTAAAACACCTAAGCACACTTCCAACTAGTTCCTGACCAGTAATCGGTCCCTTATATTCGGTCTCATAACCTCGGCTAGGTATTCAGGAAGATATGTGCATAGTTCCGCTTCTCTATCTCTTCGCGTTACGACGAAATCGTCGCAGAAGTAAAGGGGGGCAACTATATGCCCCCCGGCGGCCGGCGGGGGACACAGAGGCCCAGCGGCCGCCGGGGCAAATAAATTTGTTCCTGAAGAGTTGATCAGCTGAAAGTAAAGCCTTTTAGATTATTCCGGCTTTAGACACATTGATCGGAAGCTCCACAAACCGCTTACCGTTTTCATGAGGCGACTCGATAACTATACCGATTTATTTTAGACGTTAGGTCAACCGTCCGTGTTTCATTCGTTGGCGATGGCAGATGGTTTAATCTATCAGCATAACCGCAGGATAGAGAGCACAATCCATTACGGCCACTAATGCGTTGGCTTTTCCCGCAGATCGGATATCCCACCCACCGTGACACACGGCGCGCTGCTCCTCGGTCCCAGACCGGCGGCGTCCGCGGGGGGATCTGACCGCACGTCACCCCTCCGCCACCTCCCCGTCCCCTTCCCGTCCCCTCTCCACTCCCACTGGATGATGTCATCAGTCCGACCTGCTGGAAAGGGTGGAGTGGGGGAGGGCGGTGTTGACAGTGTCTTGACGGGAGACGCCGAATTTGGGAGACATATGCAGTGCATTAATGAGCTTTCATACTTCAGTTTTCTTCCATCTTGTATCCTTCAAAGCATATAGCTTGTGTAATTATGCAAGTATCCTTGACTGTGCAATACCATCTTTTAGGAGGTGAGATAAGAGATATCATTTCAAATCGAGATATGCAATGTGAATCACTGGTCAGACGAGGGCTTGTCCTTCCGGTCGTTGTAAGTTGACCCAGGCTGAGTAAAGAATAGGCATGAATGAGTAAAGACCGAGTCGAGGAAAACGCCGCAACAGCTCGGTCCGCCCGCTCCCAATCCACCTCGTCACCGCCCTAAGGCTATCACAGCAGCGTGGCCTGTCCTGGCCGACCCAGTGGAACTCCCAGCGGTCCGACCGCAGTGGCTAATCGTCACATAAACCGTAACCATCCCCTCCTCTCACCTTGTCCAATGTCCATATGTGACGACGACCGCCAACAGTGCACGCTGAATGGGACGTCTCGGGGCAAAAACAGCCGTATTATTCGCTCGATCGCTTATGGCGTGGTCTTGTAGGTGCCACCGTGTGTCAACGTAAGGGCGGGCGTGGAAATGGATGGAATCGTATGGCATCCTGAAAATCTGCGTATCTGCAGACCAGTCATACCAATCTCCAAAAGAAGCTAACTTTGCTTTTCCGTTCAAACTTTTTACAGGGTGTTCCAAAAAAGTGAGCCCCTTAACTTATATTGCTTTTATCTCCAAAACCGTACGTCCTACGATAATGAGAGACCCCTTGTTGGAAAGAACGGTCAAAATCGGTTCTAGTAGGCTACCTAGTGTGGCTCTGAATGATTACGTATTACACCGAGAACGACCAGAACAAAATGTGTTGCCAGATCGGGTGAAACACGGCGCCGGCGGTAAACGTGTACCTATTGCTGACGGCAACGCATGACCGATATCGGAGTGGTCAAAATACTGGTTGAACTAGGTCATCCATTCAGTGTTCAATTTTCATGATAAAAGTTCATGTGCGAAGAATGAATAAAAGCACGTGAACTGAAATATGCAGTCAGATGCGAAGAACTTTCAACCATATCCGATACCGTTAAATGTTTCACCAAGAATTTGGTATTGAATTGTGCTTTTCACAATGCTGGCCGTGTTGTGCAAGATATGTAACGGAATTACGGTCTATCTGGATGGAATTTGATTGCTCTTTCTAATGAGTAGCTTCCCAAAGCTGTAGGATGCACGGTTGCAGAGATACAGTCGATCTTAGTTGGGGGGCTCACCTTTTTTGGAACACCCTGTATAACATATACACTTTTTGGAATGAGGTCTTCGTGGCAGATAATAGACGCGTTTACATAGGGTTTGTTGCAAGCTTATATCTCCGTCCGTGATGTTGCAAAAGATGCCAATGGTGCTTAAAAATTTACAAAATGATCCCCTCTAAATATTTGAAGACCACTGCATCGAAGTTATCGCCAAATTAACGAGCTAGAGCCTCGTCAAATATGCTATGTAAACCGGGTTATTATACCTTCCTAGTGCGGCATTTACATTCAGTAGGTACAGTAAACCGAGTTAAAGACAAGTTATGAATGAAAGACAAATACAAACTTTTAGCTGATTAAATACACCACCTTTCTCATATTTTTACAGAAAATATGCTAAGAAGAAGCGCATCTGGTAAAACCTACCGTCCTAGCAGGCAGCACAGCTGGCCCACCTCTACGAGTGCGCTCCCGTCGCCTGGGGCGGTGCCCTGACCGCGGCCCGGGTCAGCTGAGCGCGCCGCCCGCCTCAGTCGGTGGCCCGGCGGTCGGTGGGGAGCGGCTGTGCGCGGCTCCGGTCGGTCTCTGCGGTGGACACGGGTCGCCCGCGACTACACCGACCCTCCGGACACTCAGGACGCGCGCTCTGGAGGCGGCCACCCTGGGGAGCTCACCCGGAACGTCATCGTCTTCTCCGTCCGTCTCGAACGCCGCCAGCCTGGGTCTCCCGGCCGAGTCGGAGGGCTCTCCGCTGACGCCGGCGGCTGTCGATCGGCGCCGCTCTCCGCACACACCGTGAGTTATTCCGCGCGGCGGGTCGACGCTCCGCGGCCGCGCCCGGCCCCGTGTCACGCCGACGACACCCGACCCCGACGGGCCGGCGCGCCGGTCTGTCGCCGAAAAAGCTGTTCCCAGATGAATATTCCGATAACCTTGTCACGTCGGATCGGTGAACAGCGCCGAACGGCTCCGATGTCTCTATCTTATCTATCCGGCCACGGCTATTGTTCGTGAACTCTCCGGGGTTTTGTTCGAGTACAAATAGCTAACGTCAGGTTTGAAGTTTTACGTTTTATCATAGTAACCGAACCTTTACTAACGGTCGATTTTAAAATAATAATATAACTATTAGCGCATGTATTTTCATATTAGCGCCTGTATTTTCATAGGATTTTTCTTTTCGTCTTGCATTGAATTAGTTTTGTCGACTATGGCCATACAAATGGCATTTTATGACAATGCTCCCAAATAACTAATTGAGATGCGAATGTCTTTCTAGTTGCGGTTTATTTGCCACTGGTCAACAGTGCAGGGACATATATATGATTCTTCGTGTCTCCGAGTGGAAGATACCTAAAGATATATTATCCAAGCGGGTCACTGAAAAGCGAGCGATAAACGCGAGGTTTTTTCTTCCACTCGGAGCCATGAAGAATCCTCGCTCAAGGGTCATTATCGTGCGGATCTAGGGGCCTGTCAATTTCATCCAGCTCTCAATCTTCTGCCTACTTTGGCACATCAGAGTGTTGCACAGTGCTCGTGCGCGCTGCGCACTTTGTAGTCGTTGGTTTGTGCACCATGCCAGAGCACAGTGGGGGAAACTGTGGTCAAATCTTCTATTTTTGGAAGCCTTCCATTTTTGGAAGGACCTTCCATAAATGGGTATGCATTTTCCAAAAATGGAAGGCTTCCAAAATTGGAAGGTCTAATCTCAGTGTTCCCAACTGTGATTCACATTCTTTGATTTAAGTTACGGCCTTTTTAAATGTGTAACATTAATAGTTGATTTTGCCATTTATGATCATTGATATAAGGAGAAGCAGCAGTGCTAGTGTTGGTAATACAGGCATGCTATGTCAATGTACATAGTGATATAATAGCATGGTGTCCTGGCGCACTGCTCTCTTTTTCTACTTCTAGAGGACACATAGAAATTCAGAAGAGAAAACAGCTGGTCAATAACCAACCAGGAGGAACACAGCTATAGCCCTGACAAAAAATGGTTTGAATTAAACTTACTATTCCTCATATAAATTGAAGATTCATGCTCCTTCGATAGAAAGTAACACGAAAAACGGCGCAGCAACGCCTATTTAATTCGTCCCATATTCCGGAAAAAACATTGAAAAATGACGAGACCTCCACCCAAATGTTTGGCAAAAGCCTTAAAAAATTGAAATCAACCACACAATATGCTAATAAATGCAGAAAACGGCAACAAATACAAGTTTTACTCGCCACTACACTCCCGAAACCGCCGCACTCTGTCCAGACAATTCCGCACTGTAAATAAAGTCGGCGGTATCGAACAAGCATGGCCCGTCACTAAAGTACTTTAAAGGATATTTACTTTTCGTTTTTGATGCTTTTTGCTTACAAAATGTTTGATAAAGTCTTATAAAACCATCGTTTGTCGGTAAATTTTTGTCAATTTTCCACGACTCATTACTTTGAAAAATTACCTAAAATACATCCACGCTAGGATTTAGGCATCCACGCTAGATTATGGACACTTCACTATGGCGAATAGAAAGCGACCAGGGGCGATAGTCGCATTTGCCTCATGTTCGGCGGAAATCGGTAAGTTCCAACATATGCGCAACATTTTCTATATTTGGGTACGATGACGTCGTCAGCGTACCCATTTTTGGAAGGTGCGTACCCATATATAGAAAATCCTTCCAAAAATGGAAGGCTTTCTAAAAATGGAAGATTTGACCACAGTTTCCCCGACTGAGCACGGGCGTCGTTCCGTCATCTCTAATCACCAGCGGCGATAAAATCCTGCGGCTCTATTGATCTTCCCTCAGTTAATTTCACGTCCTGGCTGATTGATGTTCAATTATCCCATGACCCTTGCAGGTGGTTCAATAGCCGACCGTGTCCTTAGGTGCGCAAGGCAGTTATACCTCCTAGGTGGGGTGGGGACGGGGTGGTCAAACGGACGGGGTCTCTCCTTTTCATGACTAACCTAATGGCCAGGCTGTCGTACTGACTAGCGCACATTGAATACATGAGCTGAGAAAAGTGACCATAAAAGTAGTTGTGGGGAACACGGTTATGTTGCAAAGCAAACTCTGCGCAAACACATGTGACATGTGTTGCATTTAGTTTGCATTTTCTTTTTAGTTGTATCCGGGATGCCCAGAGATAATGCCATGAAGCATGCATTCGGACGTGGTTCTGATTCCCAGTCTTCTGCGCGGTCGGGAAGTCGTTTTCTATGTTCCATTAGGAGCCGTTACGAATCGTCGGCTGTGATGAATAGTGGGAGACTGCAGACATTTATCAGAATCATCAGTGCAGTGAAGACGCCACTTCCGACTGTTTGTAATCAGCAAACGGGAGGCTTGAAATATGGAATGTGTGCATGTCCAAAGTCCGTCTTTCATCATTCTTTCGGCATGCAGCGGTACGAATATCTTCCCATGGTATCCGTAAAGCACGCAGGCTGAATTGTGAATGATGGATGATGGAGAGGCAAAAAAGTTGCCTGCAACATTAAAATTTTTCCTAGTTGTTTTCCATGGTGACATGGTCAACGTTTCAGAGTAAAACAACGTAGTGACGAATAGAGACAAAATTGCAGCCGTCTATAGCAGCCGTCTAATGTAACAATACCACTGGCAATAGGAGACTGAAGTGTCTCACAAAACAATAGCACTGCTCGCACTCGGAGCTTGCAGTGTCTCACAACACAATAATAGGTAGGTACTATCAACAATAGAAAACTGCAGCGTCTCACAAGACACTAACCCTATCGGCAACAGGAGACTGCAGCGTCCCACAAAAGAATAGCCCTACCGGCCATTGGAGACTGCAGCGTCCCACAGAACAGTAACACTAGCGGCCATTGGAGACTGCAGCGTCCCACAAGACAGTAACACTAGTGACAATGGAGACTGCGGCGTCCCACAGAACAGTAACACTAGCGACAATGGAGACTGCAGTGTCCCAAAAGACAGTAACACTAGCGACAATTGGAGACTGCAGCGTCCAACAAGACGGTAACACTAGCGATAATTGGAGACTGCAACGGCCCACAAGACAGTAACACTAGCGGCAATTTGGGACTGCAGCGTCCAACAAGACGGTAACACTAGCGATAATTGGAGACTGCAACGGCCCACAAGACAGTAACACTAGCGGCAATTTGGGACTGCAGCGTCCCACAAGACAGTAACACTAGCGACAATTGGAGACTGCAGCGTCACACAAGACAGTAGCACTAGCGACAATTGGAGACTGCAGCGTCCCACAAGACAGTAACACTAGCGGCCATTGGAGACTGCAGCGTCCCACAAGACAGTAACACTAGCGGCCATCGGAGACTGCGGCGTCCCACAAGACAGTAAGACAAGCGGCAACTGGAGACTGCAGCGTCCCACAAGACAGTAACAAGTGACAATTGAAGACTGCAGCGTCACACAAGACAGTAACACTAGCGACAATTGGAGACTGCAGCGTCACACAAGACAGTAACACTAGCGACAATTGGAGACTGCAACGTCCCACAGAACAGTAACACTAGCGGCCATCGGAGACTGCAGCGTCCCACAAGACAGTAACACTAGCGACAATGGAGACTGCAGTGTCCCACATGACCGTAACACTAGTCACAATGGAGACTGCAGCGTCCCACAGGACAGTAACACTAGCGGCCATCGGAGACTGCAGCGTCCCACAAGACAGTAACACTAGCGACAATTGGAGACTGCAGCGTCCCACAAGACAGTAACACTAGCGACAATTGGAGACTGCAGCGTCCCACAGAACAGTAACACTTGTCACAATGGAGACTGCAGCGTCCCACAAGACAGTAACACTAGCGGCCATCGGAGACTGCAGCGTCCCACAAGACAGTAACACTAGCGACAAATGGAGACTGCAGCGTCCCACAAGACAGTAACACTAGCGACAATTGGAGACTGCAGCGCCCCACAGAACAGTAACACTAGCGGCAAATGGAGACTGCAGTGTCCCACAAGACAGTAACACTAGCGGCAATGGAGACTGCAGTGTCCCACAACTCACAAGACAGTAACACTAGTCACAATTGGAGACTGCAGCGTCCCACAAGACGGTAACACTAGCGGCAACTGAAGACTGCAGCGTCTCACAAAACAGTAGCGCTGCTGGCACTGGAGACATCAGTGTCTCACAAGACAGTAGCGGCAATTAGGTAGGAGCCTGCAGCGTGAGCCAGAGTCTCTGAAACCTCTCGGACATAGGTTAGCTCTAATGCTCATATACTATATAAGGAGCGTGGGAAGCATGAAGGCCCCAAGAGGTCAGCATGAGACCCTCAGAAAACGACGAGGGCCTTCAGAATTAAACTTGGGCCCTCATGGAATGCAAAGGGCCCTCCGATGCTTACGTGGGACCCTAATAGATCGATGGGCATAGCGGGCATAGACATTCAGATCGGCCCAAAGCCCTAAGCGACCACGATGGGTCTCTCAAGAACCTGTGCCAGGTCCCTCTGATGCATGCGTTAAGGTCCTTAGAAACTGTATATGGATCCTCTGACTTCTGAGACCCAATGGCTGACACGAGGCCCTGTGGATCCAGCCCCAGCTTTAGTGACTGGCATCAGGTAATCGATTGAATCTTAGATCAGGCCCTTGGAGGGTTTCTAGTCACTTTTTTAGGGGGAGTGCAGAAGAGTGGTACACGCAACTGCATCCCTTGTATCCCCTCCCCACCATCAGAGGGTCCGCCCGGCTCCGGTGTCCGTCCCCGCCCAGTACCGGTGGCTGTCCCCGCCCAGTACCGGTGGCCGTCCCCGCCCAGTACCGGTGGCCGTCCCCGCCCAGTACCGGTGGCTGTCCCCGCCCAGTACCGGTGGCCGTCCCCGCCCAGTACCGGTGGCTGTCCCTGCCCGGTAGCAGTGGCTGTCCCCGCCCGGCAGCAGTGGCTGTCCCCGCCCGGCAGCAATGGCTGTCCCGCCCGGCTCCGCAGCGCCGCCGGTCCCTGACGCTTGCGGCGCCCGCCGGCAGGCGGCAGCACCGTCTCTCGGTGATGATCGAGGAGCCGGACAGCCGGTGGAGGATGTCGGAGCGGCGCATCTTCTGCCTGTCGCTGACGGTGCTGCTGATGCTGCTGCTGGTGGGTCTGCTGGTCGGCATGGTGACCTGGTACCGCACCCAGTCGGACGCGCAGCTGGCGATGGCCGAGCAGCAGCGGCTCTGGCGGGGCCGCCTCCTCCAGTGTCAGCAAGGTACCGACTCCGGGAGGGGGAGGGGGACAGGGTCGGGAGCGTGGGAAAGTGCAGGTAAGCTAATTGGACTTTGGAGTCGACAGGTTTTCATGGGACGATTATGAAAGCATCCTACTTCTGACGTGTATGTATGTATCTTGATCAGATTACATTGACAACTTTTACATCGCCAACTGTCATGATCCTCGTAAATAATATTTATTATCATGAAAGGCTTACAAACGGTAAGCTAATGAAAATTGGTCATATTTCTGCCATGTTCTCAGCACTGGCACGTACCCTGCAGGTAATGACGTCCGAGCCATGGGGCATGGCCACCATTCGTCACTGTGCGCTGTCAGGAGCAGGTGTCTGACCGCCTGTCCGACTCTACCCACTCCCCCGCCCGCCGCCAGGTCGCCGGTCGGCCGAGACCCGTCTGGTGGCCGCTGCCTCTCGCGTCGGCTCCCTGTTCGAGGAGGGCTCGCCTTACCACCGAGCCGCGCTGCAGGGCCTCCGGGACGCCAACGCACGCGCCAGCGTGGGCCGGCCGCTGCTGCAGGCGGCCGCGCCGGACGGAGGCGGCGACCAGGGACCGCCGGCCCTCTCCAACGTCACTCTCGTCAGCGCCAACGTGTCCGCCACGGTGAGAGCCCGGGACAATGTCGTCAATTTTTACAATAATTAACTCATATGCTGAGATCTTCATCTATTGGATTTAGTGTGCACGTTTATTTTACCGGTTTTCTTGGTCGACTTTACGGTGTATAAATAATGGTGTCGTCCTCGTTTAAGCTGGCGTCCAGACCCAGCATCCACCGGGTCGTCTATTGGCCAGAGTGTCTCTCTGAGCTCGTGTAACCTCGTCCCTCCGCAGGGCGACACTCTGGCTGCTGTCCAGCAGCTGTACGCGGACGGGGTGCGGCTGTTTATCGGGTTCCCGGACAGCGACGAGCTGCTGCGCGCCGTGCAGTGGGCCTCGCAGCACGCGCCCGACGCCGTGCTCGTCTCGCCGACGGCCACGGCCGGTGACCTGCAGTCGGACTCGGGCAATCCGCTGCTGCTCAGTCTGGGGGACGCGGCGCTGGCGGCGGCGCTGCTCTGCCTGCTGCGCCAGCGCTCTGTCCGGCACCTGGTGCCCGTGGCGGCCGACACCACCTACGGCCGCAGCGTGGTCGAGGAGCTGCGCCGCGCCGCGCTGTTCGACGGCGCCGCCACGGCCGTCACCGAGCCGGTCTGGTACCGGCCGGCCGACGCGGCGGCGGCCGCCGGCCGCGGCGCCGTCATCCGGGCGGCGGCCGACGCGGTGTCCGCGCTGGCGGCGCCGCCGGCCACCGTCGGCCTGCTGTTCGTCTCCGGCGCCGAGATGCGCCACTTCCTGGAGGAGGGCGGCTGGGACTCGCGGCTCTCGGCCGCCCAGTGGTTCGGCACCGACTCGGTGGCGCTGCGGGACGACATCCTGGCCTCGCCGGCGGCCCGCGCGGCGGCCGTCCGCGTCAAACTGACGGCGCTCATCTACTCCGGGGCGGACGCGGCCAGCGCGGCCGAGCAGTGGGCCGTGCTGCGCCGGCTGACCACGGGCGCGCAGCAGCCGGCGCCCAGCGTGCTGCGCGCCTACGACGGCGCCGCCCTGCTGGCCGAGCTGGGACACCTGCTGCTCGGCCACGGCAACACGACCGGCGCGCTGGCCGCGCTGCGGGCCTCCGTGCGCGCGGGCGTCACCGGCGCCGCCGCCGTCAGGGACGGCTCGCGCCGCGCCGGCGGACGGTTCGCCGTGACCCGGGTAGTGGCGCGCGCGGACCTGGAGCGCGAGCTGCTAGCGGCGCCGGACGCCGGCCCGGCGCTGTGGGCGGTGACTGGCCAGGTGCGGATCGAGGCGGACCCGCAGCAGGGCGCCTACCTGGGCCGCATGGTGCTGAGCTCGGCCGGCGCCGGCCTGCACCTGGTGCGCCGCAGCGACGTGCGCGCCCTGTACGCGGCGCTGGGCGGCTGCGGCGGCGACGGCCTGCAGCTGACGGCCACTGCGCCGGCCGGCGCCGCCGAGCTGAGCGCGGCCCGGCGCGCCGCCGAGCTGCCCGAGCGGCTGCTGGTGTCTGCCGCCCGGCCGGCGCGGCTCGAGCTGCACTGCGCCGCCTCCGAGTCGGGCCTGCTGCACCTCAGCCTCCGCTGTCCGGCCGTCCAGCTGCCCGGCGCCGACACCGTGTTCTGCCTGGCGCAGTACTACCGCCTGGTGGGCGCCAACGTCACCAGAGCCTCTGCGTCGGCCGTGCGGTGGCGCCACGAGCGGCGGCTGGTGGGCTGCGGGGCGGCGCCGGCCGAGTGTCTGGACCGGCCCTGCCGGGAGCAGCGCTCCTGTATCACCGCGCTCACTGACGAGCTCGGCACGTGGCTCAAGGAGTGAGGCACTGCCGGCTCCACGGAGGGCCAAAACTGACGGCCCACGTCGACAAGCCGGCTGGACGGCGACAATGTTGACCGCCATCTTTAAATTGTTTAAATGTACCGGATTGTTAGTGCTGTATTACAATATCAACTCGAATAAATATACACCTTGAAACTCAGCGTCCACATGATTTACGTGCTAGTCTCATGATGCCATGATAAATTAAACGGTAAAGCTGACTCAGAACTGTTATAAATGGGTGGCAGAGGTTGGCCCACGGCGTGTGTCGTCCGCTTACCTTTCCAGTTTCCACTCGAGGGTTATACCACTGTCCACCACTGCGTGGGAGCAGCTAGTGATCCAGGACAGCTCCGTAAAAAAGATGGCTGATAGAACGAGGATGATACGCAAATTAGTCATTCAGGACTAGATGAACTTTTATTTGTAAGTGAAATGCACACATGTTTTGGATGGATGAGTAGAAAACCGCATGAATATGTGTAAAGAACTAGGCAAGTAATCGACAAAAAAATGAAAATAAATAAAAAAACAATTTGCACCATAGAACACGTCGGCAAAACCTTGACATTGCCACCACAGGGCTGGCCAGTTTTCCGAGATCCTGCTGAACCCCGCACGGCTGTCAGTGGAGTGAATAGGCCAAGATTACACCGCCTCACTGAACATCCAATGGATCACACCAGTCGCAGTCTTACGAACTCAGCATCCGGCCTTGCCTCAAAGAGGACGAAGACGCAAACAATTTATTGCTTAGAAACATGATCGAATACAAGGCACACAATTTTGCTCGAACAAACCAAGCTACGCATCCCTCACGAGGGGCACGAAAGTAGGGTGTGAAGAACAAACCGACCCCGGGCGGCGGCCTTCCGACTCACCGGGACGGGCGCCGCGCCGGCCCGGGGCGCAACAGAAGTGAGGAAAGCATTAGAGCTGCCGCTGCCGCGCGGCAGCCGCCGGCAGCTGGCGCACCGCGCTGCACGCTGCGCGCGCCACCCGTCGTCTGTCTCCCCGTCTGGACAGGCCCCGGCTCGCCGCTCCAACTCGGCCGGGGCCTCCGCGGCGCGTCCGCACCCGCGCCGTCTTCTCCGAACGTCTCCGAACTGACTGCGGCCGTCTGGACGGCTCGTCTGCGTCGTCTCCCTCGTCTTTCTCTCCCCAATTTGTCGGTCGTGAATTTGCTCTCGCTGCTCTGGGGCAGCCGTGTGGCGGCGCCGCGGTGCGCGGACGGCCGCCGACCCCGTGGACGGCGCTACCGACCCGCCGTGTGCTTCTGGCTGCGGCCCGCAGGCCCGGACCGGCCTCCTCTAGCCGTCTCGGGAGCAGTCGCGCGCCATGTGACCGAAGTCACCGCACGTGTAGCACTTCATACAGTTGCGGGCAATGTGACCCGTCTTCTTGCATCTGTGGCGGGCAGGGCCGAATTAAGATCCTAAATTGATTTAGCATATACAAATTGACAATCAATTGGGGATGCACAACCTCAAACTGAAGACCATTTCCGATTTGAAATTGAAGTGACCCAAACTTGGTCAATGAGGCTAACATAACTCATGAGTTGCTTTCTGCAAGACCAACGAAGCAAAGTCAATTGTTTACCCACTTCTCAAAAAAGTATCTGCACATGCAATCGCGAGCGAACGAATTGTTGAGTGAAGTTTTATCTCATGAATCAGTATCACCCTGGAGCGGGACAGGATTGCAGAGAAAAAGGAAAGACGAGGGAGAGACCAGGAGAGCGGAAGCAGGCGGCGAGTCGCCCGCGACCCACCTGTGGCAGGAGTCCTCGCCGGCGGCCGGGTTGTCGGGACAGTCGCGACTGATGTGCTCGGTCGACTTGCACGTGTAGCACATGCGCTTCTTCTCCTCGCCGCTGGCCTCAGTGCAGTCGGACGAGATGTGGCCGCTCTTGCCACACACGTAACACTGCCGGACAGACGGTCAGAACACAGTCAGACTCAGCACGGCGGCTACAAACACACATTTCCCGATCCCCTGCATCACACACACTAATGAACCATCCCTGTAAGAAGTTGACTTTACCAGTCAACTAACAGCATTCAATCCAAATATGGCGCTAATGCGCTATAGGCCCGTGTCCACGGTCTCACTCACTCACCATGCGGTCGTCGACCTCGCAGTCGCGGCTAATGTGGCCCTTTTTGCCGCACGTGTAGCACGTCTTGTCCGAGTCGGGACAGTCGCGCGCCAGGTGGCCGGTGCCGTTACAGTTGTAGCAGAGCGGCTCGCGGCCGCGCCGCTCCGCCTGCGGGTTGGAGCAGTCGCGCGCGATGTGGCCCGGCTGGTCGCACCGGTAGCACACGTCTTCGCCGGCCGTGCAGTCGCGCGCCATGTGGCCCATCCGGTTACACTTGTAGCACTTCTCTGCGGAGCGCGGGAGGGAGGTGTGGGCGGTTAGCACTGGGTGGGACGGGCGGCTGAGGCGGGCGAGCGCCTGCTGTCGTAGGACTGTAAGGACGTCTGGATGATATTGAATGGTAAGACATTACCATGCTTGGGTTTTCTAGGACGTGGCGAAGATCTCTGGTCATAGCGTACGTCCTACTTTACCAGTAAAACAGCAACGCTGATACGCTAATACACTGTACAAGTATGGAACAACCGATTACTGTTTGCTACGGTCAGACAGAGAGAACATAACATGAATCGCATTCTTTTTGACGAAAGCACGATTTACGAAGCCGCTAGTGCCGCCAGCTACCCCCAACCGCCCAGCTCGGTTCTCAAGTTGTGAGTGATAAGCCACTCGTCTGACCCGTGCTGTGTACTGACCTCTGAACACGGTGCGTCCACCCCTGCCGCGGCCTCGGCCCCGTCCGGCCGCGCCCGGCGCCGGTCCCGACGGCTTGTGCTCGGCCGTGGGACAGCTGCGCGCCATGTGGCCCGTCTCGTGGCAGTTGTAGCACTCTATGGTGCTGACCACCGCCGGCTGGCACACGCACACACAGAACTGTCAGCATTGCAGCCGATACCTATCCATTCATCCGAGTATTCAATTTCAAACAACTACCAACTCCTGGTGTTACCCGTTGCAGTTAATGAAACATTTTGTTTGCTGCATCACACTTTGCTCAAATGTCATGGAAAATGATAGGTAGTTCCATAAAAATTCATCATGAATTATATGAATTCTCAAAATATATAAATGAAATATACATTGTCTATGCAACAAAAACAAAGACACAGGTAAGAAATGCTACATCAAAATATGGAGAATAATGTATTTTGTAAAAAAAAAGCATTAAGCTGCAAAGCCACAGCTATATAGCAAATATCATAGATGGGCACCACTCCTCAAAAATGTAACTTCATTACTCGCTCCTCCATTCCTTCAAAACGCCACTTCCAATACTCGTTCCTCCACTCCTCTGCAAAAAATGTAACAGAAGTTTCTTAGCTAGTCACCTTGTTACAGCTTCACAACAAAAGACCTAAAAATGTCCTGTGCATTTTACACATAACTGCAACTGACACCAGTTCCAAATAAGGCCACCAATACAGATGGCCACATCTCTACCCGCTGAGACAGACTGCTTCAGTGGGTTCAGATAACTGGCAGCTTGCTGCCATACAGTGTTGAGTTGGAACCCTGCAGTATCAATGTATTGCAATGCAATCTGTCTCTCTTTTGCCTACCATTCACCTTAACCCGCGCCCTGGTGGGGGGGGGGGCTATTTTTTGCCCCCCCTCCAGACTTTTTGATATATCTCCAGAACCGCTGCGCCGATCGTCACCAAACTTTCAGTACCCTCCCGGACATCAATTTTACACATTGTGACCAAAAATTTTTCCAAAGGCTATGATAGGTTGGCCGGAAATGACGTCAGAGTGACGTCATGTTCTGCCGTTTTCGACCCAAAAAAGGGTTTCGCGGGAAGAGCTGTCAGGCCTATAGCTTTGCAAATACAGAAAAATGATAAAGACATAAAAGCTGTAGAATCAACAGGGCTACAAAACTGCTATCTCGGATTTTTGAAATTTTTGGATTTTGACCCCCAAAAATCAAAAAATAATTTTTTTGCATATAATAATCGAAAAATCCAAAAAGTTTTTTGAATTTCGCAAAAACCGGAATATATGTGATAGTCCTTACCTCCTTCCATCCACATACCAAATTTGAGATCGATACCTCTTTTTTTGGCGAAGTTATAGCGAAAAAACTGTTCAAAATTGATGACGTCAAATTTTCAAACTCAATTTTTAGCAATTCTAGACCCCGTAGCGCAAAACAAAGACCACCATTAGACTCCCCGTGACGAGCTGCATCGAATCAATACCAATTTTATGCAAAACTATCAATTTTGAAATTTGACCTTTTTTGGCCTGACCTTGACCTGACCTTGACCTGAACTTCACCAGAAAGTGACCTAAGCCGTACCTGATAGTCTTATAACCAATACCATTGAGTTGGAAATGAAAAATTGGCCATAAAACATGCATCACACAACCTTAGTAAAGTGTGGCTCATGTGACCTGACCTGTGACCCTTGGTGACCTGACCTGTGACCTGACCTGGTATTGTCAGTGACCTCTAATAGTAATATATCTACTAGGCAACTGACGCCCTATCGCTGATTCTCGACAAAATGCGTTTTCCTCGGTGTTATAGCGCATTCCCTAGAAGACCCGTGAACGGTGAAACATTTCATCTTTGACCTGACCTGTGACGTCATCGGTGACCCCGAGGTCAATGAAATTTGGTTTTCCTCGACAAATTTGACAGGCCTTTCGAACGCCGTTTGAATTTTGCGGATCCGTCCAGTAGTTTCGGAGATACGAGGGGGGGCAAAAAATAGCCCCCCCCCCCCCACCAGGTCGCGTTATAAACAGACCCCACCAGGGCGCGGGTTAAAATGCAGTCCTGAAAGATGGAATATCAGCTTGGGAAAAGCTATCTTCACATAATTTCTTTCATTCAAGTCTACCTGTGACAAGGCACTAGCATGTGTTGATGCATTAGTAATGACAAACTAAACCTAAAAGAATTCAGAATAATTCAATCAATTGGGTGGGACAGCCAGTCAGTATTCAGATGAACCCTTAAAAATACATTCCTCAGCTGCCACAATAGCTGGTGACATTTGGTTACTGAAAACCATAACAGCACTCATTTCATCACTTAAAGAATAAATTGTGCCCATCTATGCTGTGCAAAATATTGTAAAAAAAAAATCAACACCCACACACTGATACATTACTTCAGAACAACCATCTAATATCTACAAATCAAGCAAGTGAAAAATATAAGGAAAGATTCAAATAGTGCTAATAGTATGACCTGTGCATACCTTTTCAGTTTTGGTGGTATCTGAATCATTCTTCTCAGCTGACGGACAGGCACGAGCCATGTGTCCCACCTCATGACAGCTGTAGCATTCCACAGCGCTGGCACTCATTGTATTGACAAGAATCGCTGAAAAGGGTACAAATTATAAGCATGACAAATTCAGATGCAATTGCAAGTGAGCAGAAGGGTGGAATCTGAAAACAGGGTGCCAGAGCAAGAGGGCATATTGTCAGGTGATTATTGAGAAATTCTTTACCTTCCAATGCCTCTAACATGTCAATTTTGAAAAAGCCTTGATCAATTGCCCCAGGCACCCTGAATTCAGATTTCACCAGCATAAGTGTTTCTAAGTTAAGATTTGCATACCATGACCATCGCCCATGCAGAGCTTCAGCCTGAGCTAAGCATGAACGAAAAGCAAGTCACATTGACAAATAAAAAGCCACTGCAGTTTCAATGAAGCTGTAGATCAGGGTATATTGAGTGAAGATAAGGTAACAAAAATTTGAAAAACCATCAACATATTGTAACCTAAACAGAATTTGAAACTCAAACTTGATGAATCGATCCACATGCAATTACCTTGTCACAAATCCAATAGGCAAAGATTTTAAGGCTAAAGAGAGTGTCTGCATGAGATTTCAGAGCTAGGAAAGTCTCGACATTAGACAGTCAATTGAAAATAATAAAAAATTGTGCTACCGCCCACACCTTACTCACCAATCGGACGCAAATAAACTGTCCCACGCGCACGCGTTCCACATGGAAAACGTGCGCAACAACCGCCGCCATAAAGCAAAAAATAATTGTAAAATATCTTAATCCTAAGACAACCAATGCAATTGACATATATGTTTTCAGAGGTTTTTAACAAATATATTATAATAAATTATGAGTAACTGACTTTATTCGTGACATTAATCATCATAGTAATCATTTTCAACCATTTCTGGAACTAAGGTTAAATGTCAGAAAAATCACTAAATTATGGATATTTGTGTCAAAGCAACAAGCGTAGTACTAAATGTAAACTAAACCAATTTTACCATATTAATTTCCAGTAGGGAGGCTATATGGTTTAGGTTTTTATGGTTTTAGCCCATCCGTGAATCGATAAATCTGGTTCATACCTAAACTACACTAATAGATCTGGTTCGTTTGGTAAAAAACGAGGCCTGCACAGTGCACACTTAGAATTCAGCTTGAGCCTCAAGGTTACCCAGTCCGTAGGTAGGTACCACCTACCTCTTTGGCCTACCGGCCCCGGGAGCTGGGAAAAAGATATGCACGGCTGTCCTATTGATACGAGTAGATATGCACGGAAAAGATATGCACGGCTGCACGGCTGTCGGCGGACCAATAGGTCCGCCGGACCTATTGGTTTTCTAAATATGCACCGGCCGAGGGGAGGGGGGCGGGTACGACCCCCTCTCGCCGTTTCGCCCCTGATAGAGCTAGAGCGTTGCGGAAAAACGAGCGTGTGCGCCGTTACAAGATGCAGCGATTAGTACCCAATTTTAAGGTCTCAGGTCAACTGTCGAGGTCAGGTCAAGTGGCCCAAGTGCCAAGGTTCGGTTTTTGGCAAATAACTTCGCAAAATTGGTCGCAGAGCCGCGACTCTGACAGCATCGTGTTCGCCTTTCTCAAGCGCGTCGAATGGTACCTACCTATAGGTACTTTTTGTCTGGGTGCGGTCAGTTGAGGTGTTGGCCTCGGGTTACGGTCAGGTCAGAGTCTCTCAGGTCACAAGCTTGGCCGAAGGAGGTCATGTCGCATATCATTCGATTCGGCAGGTCTTCTCGAGTCTATCGGTGGCTTTTCCGACTCGCTAACTCAATTTGATCAGAAGTTATTGACGAAAAACTCTAATGACCCTAGTGACGTCATCCTAACGTCACGCAAGGTCAAAAATGCAAAAGTGAAGCGTCCAAACTTACAAGGAGTGCATGAAATCACGATTCCGTCACCGTGCGGTTGAGATAGTTTGAGATCGTTCGGCCGGCGCCATAGTAGCAGTTTTCATTTTTCCCATTGACTTAGGTATACCTACCTACCTAATGATGAGGTCACGGTAACTGACCTGACCTCATGCGACCTTTAGGAAAAATCCGAGATATACAAGCTGTGAGATCTCTAATGGATACTAGGTCTTGAAAGTTTCATCTCCTTGTGAAAGCTCCTCTGACACTGAGGGCGTTGCGAAGTTGCGACATCTAAAGACCGTGCAGAGGTTCACTTATGACGTTATAGGTCAGTGACCTGACCTGACCCGAAAATGCAGTTGGTGTCAAAAGATCCAGCTTGAATCAAAGATCAGCTATGCTAAGTTTCAGCTCTCCATCTCCAGCGTGCTTGGAGCTATCGCGAAAAAAAAAACTATGGGCTTGATGCTGTTTTCCTACAAGTTATTGCAGTCTCCCGCATAGTGCGTGTCTCTCCCTCTCTCCCGTAGGGTATGGCTAGGTGGTGGCGCCCCACATGTTATCACAGTCACCGTATGGTTTGGTAGTTGGTGTTTGCACGTGCATTTAGGTACCCACCACGCCGGAGATCGGCGCGGTGATCCCACCGCGGTGGGACAGGGGACAGGCGCTGTGGGACAGGGGACCGGCGCTGTGGGACGGGGAGCGGCGCGGTGGGACAGGCGCTGTGGGACAGGGGACAGGCGCGGTGGAACAGGGGACCGGCGCTGTGGGACGGGGAGAGGCGCGGTGGGACAGGGGACAGGCGCTGTGGGACAGGGGACAGGCGCTGTGGGACGGGGACAGATGCGGAGGGACGGGGAGCGGCGCGGTGGGACAGGGGACAGGCGCTGTGGGATGGGGGACAGGCGCTGTGGGACGGGGACCGGCGCGGGGTCCCGCTCGGTTGGACCGGGACCGTCGCAGTGGTCCCGCCGAGTCTGGCCGAGGGCGGAGACTGGCGGGCGGCACAGCCAGCGGTGACAGTGACCGGCCGATTAGCAGTTCCCGGTAGCACCTTTGTTTACGAGGAGCGCCGCCGCGGCCGGCCAGCAGTGCTGCCGCACAGGGGACGCGCCGCGGACGTCCGGGGAGTACCGCTCTCTCAGAGACCCGTCTGCGCCGCGCCGGCCGACAGTCAGCGGCGGTCGGTGATATCAGAGTGTCCTCGTCGGTACGCAGCAGCCTTGGGGGGCTCTCAGCGACCCGCCAGCCGCCATGTCTCTCGCGCGCCCGTCTCAGGGGTGTGACAGTGCTGAGCGCGCCTCGGCCGGCGACCGGTGGGCTGCGGGGGCGGCCGCGCCGGGCCCCGTCAGCGGCTGTGCCGCCGGCGACTGTCGGGTGTGCGCCCTGTGTGTCCGCGGAACAGAGAGGGATCCACGACCGGGCGCGGGTCAGACACCGACCGGGGACACCCGCCGGACCACCCGACACACCTCTGCACGACCAGTGGCACGTGAGTCAGCCGAAACCGGGGAACCGAATACTCCAGGGGTCGACCACCAGGGAGTCTCTATTTGGTATAGTACCTAAATCGAGTTTTACAATAAGCGTAGATGAATAAAAAGGCTGAGCAAAGAGCACGTAGGTAGCTTTTGTGGGTCACAAGTCCACTAATTAACAATGTAAGTAGGTATTATTAGGCTAATCAATGAACGAACACAAAAGGTCAATGCAGTCTGAGTCCGTCCAAGAGTGTCCGGCCGGCAACGTCCGACCCCCTCCAAAAAAAAAAAAAACGGATTCCGATCCCTCCGGCGATCGAAATACCTACGTACGACATTTCTGAAGTGAGCACACAACTATAGTTGGCGTAATGGGTACTGAAAGAGTTTGTTATGTGGTCTATATCACGGGTTGGTTACCTACCGTATACGGTAGGTAGAAAATAGAAAAATCGATAGAAAAACATGGTTGCCGATCGGATAAACTATTTAAGCTCAGAACGAGCCGACACAAAAAAGTTGAGTAAGTCATCAGTCATGAGTCATCTACATAAATACGCTCGCCGTGTCCATACCTATATAGTATTCATGAATGGACGGCGGTCGTACTAGCCGTGCCAGACGGCACCGTTATCGTGGCTGGTAATCCCGCATTTCATGAAACACCGGTTCCCAGCGAGGGGCGTTTCAGGAGCTCGGAGCCGTCTAGGGAGAGAAGGAGATTAACGGAACCGCAAAGCACGGTAATATTGCTGGGCTGCTTGGGCAGGAATATGAGGGTGAATAAATCGGCTTCCACGTACCTACCTTATCTACCGTGTTCGGTACATAAATATAGCTCCCAAACAGGAATACATCTATATGTAGGATTAGAAATCGGCAGCAGATGCCAGATATAGGCAAACCTTATAGAAAGTAAAAAGCGTAGTTTTTTTTTTTAATCACGTTCTACAGTTGATTATACATGATGTATGGCGCGATGGCACGACATGTTAATGGCTTATTAGTGAACTCCTTAGCTACGCAATACGCATAACGCATTGCTATCAGTGCAGCGTATGTACTTACACTTTAAATAAACTTGATCTAATAAAAACTGTGTAGTTTTCCTTCTGTCCGAGAAAAGCGGTGAAACTTAACCCGCGCGGGGCTGGGGGGGGGGGGTAAATTTTACCCCCCCCCTCGCGAATTTTTGCAATATCTCAAAAACGGCGGCGCGCAGCGCCGTAAAACTTTCAGTACCTTTTCCTACATCAATTTGACACGTTCCCTGAAAATTTGAGCGAAATCCGTCGGAAAATTTTTGAGAAATTGACGTTTTAATGACGTCATGTTCGCCATTTTCGCCTAAAAAACGGCAAAAGTTCAAACGCCGCTAACATCTTCATTTTTAAAGGAATCAAGACGCAACAAAAAAGGATATACGTAATTCTACTTTGTCTTTAAAATGGCTATCTCGGTTTTTTGAAAATTTTGGATTTTGGCCCAATTTTTTCAAAAAACTGACTTTTTTGGGAAAATAGCTATAAAATCCAAAATTTTGAGTGTATCAAAAAAACCGGAATATATGTAAGAGAAGTGGTCTATGTGCACCTACATACCAAGTTTTAAAAGAATCGGTTCAAAAATGTGGGAGTTATTCAAAATTGTATGACGTCACGACACACAAAAATTTTGAAAAATGACTTTTTTGGAAGTTCTAGACCTCGTACGGAAACAAAAATAGCACCATTCGATTCGCCGTGAAAAACTGCATCAGATAGACACCTTTTTAGGCCTTAACAACCAACTTCAAAATTTGACCTCACTTGACCTGACCTTGACCTGACCTCGAACTGAAATTCATCCAGATGTGGTTCATATCACTTATTGAGTGTGCCTATTGAATTCTATGAGTAAAATGACCCATAAAACATGTGTCGCACATGCCCTTTTCTATATTTTGTTTTTGGTGACCTGACCTGACCTGACCTGACCTTGACCTTGACCTCTGAATGATATTGTATGCAACGAATATTGTCTTGGTAGCCTAAGAGCACGTTTTGGGCGATCAGTCTCAGTCCATGACTCCATTCTTCGGCAACTTCGGTGCAAGGCCGATACTGTAGGAACTTGCAATTTGTACCCTTGACCTGACCTTGACCTTGACCTCGAACTTAAAATTAAGTACATGTTTTTAGTTGTTCGTGATGAGATCTTTCGATTGGCGTTTGAATTTTCCGAATCGGACCATTAGTTCGGGAGATAACGGGGGGGGGGGGGGTAAAATTTACCCCCCCCCCCCCAGCCCCGCGCGTTCGGCTGGAGACCCCAGCCCCGCGCGGGTTAATCAATACCGGGCTCCGGGAGGGGAACTCATGCCTAAAATGCCCGCCATCCATCCGCCAGCGCCCGCGATGATCGTCAAGGCACGCCGAGGCGCGCCTACGACACACGAACCAAAGCGCACAGCACTGCTGATACTGTGCCGCATGCCCGTCTGCCCTGCGGGACAGTATACCTAGCCACGGAGGAATACGATTAGCCATTCGCAGTGCCGAGATACGGGAATAGGAGCGAGCCAAATGATTGTTGGGTTTCATCTTTTTAGATGATCAACATGACCGGCGCAGCGGAATACGATGGAGTAGGCCGTAGGGTGTCAGCCATGTGAGTTTCTGTGTGCGTGGGCCGTGGGGGAGGGGGGAAGTGTTAGTGTAGAATGTAAAGACACGCCGCTGTTCTCACCGCCCCGATTGCCGTTAATTCTGGATAATCTTCGACTTCGTCGCAGTCAAACCTGGTCCGAGTGGTGTTAGACTGATTTGAGTCACCAAGCTGTTCATGTGAGATAGCATGCCGATCTGCACCAGACGTCTCCCGGCGACACCATATCCGGATCACGTATCTTTGGCATCCATCGTTTGTATCTTGATCTAGAGCGAGCGCTGTGGGCTCTGGTAACCCCGCCCCGGTCCCTCTGTATAACCCCCAGGTCAGTCGGCGCTGGTTTCTGGTGACCCGGTCCCTCCGTGTATTGTATAACCCTCAGGTCAGTCGGCGCTGGTTTCTGGTGACCCGGTCCCTCTGTGTAACCCTCAGGTCAGTCGGCGCTGGTCCCCCTCCTGCTGATCGCCGCTCTGGTGACCTCAGTGAGCGCCAAACCGGTCAAACGAAGCTGGCGAGACCCGTGTAACCTGGAGGCGGCGGCGGCGGCAGCCTCCGGCGGGAAGGCCACCGCCGAGACCAAACTGCTCGACCAAATCATCAGCGTCATCGACGTCATCCGACCTAAGGTCAACCGGCTAATGAACAAATTCGTGAGTACCGACTGTAGGGTAACGGGGAACGAATTGTCCCTATATGCGAAACTGCATGTGAACTCGTCACCAAAGATCTTGTGTGGATACGGCGTGAGGCACTGTGATCAAAATTCTTCGCTGATATAAATATTCCCCTTTCATGCTCACATATCATATTGGGATTGAGAAAACCTGGCATTCACTATTGCAACAAAGCTCACGCGAGATCCTAAGTGTTAAACTTCATGTGAATCTGAAAGTCGGGTAAAGAAGTACATCAAATAAACTGATACAGGTGAATCAAGGGAGGATTACAGCCTGTCAATGCCACGCCGAGATGCCACAGCGATAAAATCGGGACAAATCACACTGCCAGCCACCCCCGCGCCGCCGCGCCGGTCGCATTACGTCATCGTGACGTCACGATGTGTCATGTGGCGGAGAAAGTGGCGGAGCGGGGTGTCAGGCGCCGCCTGCGGTCTCACTGGTTACCCAGATAGTCGGTCTGCCGGCCGGCCGGGCGCCCTCAGGGTCGGACGGGTGTTGACCCGCCGGAGGAGGGGCTCTTGCGGTCACCTCCGCAGCGCCGCCGGCGACCGCAGAGCCAGACAGGATCGGTCGGGAGGCGACATGCTAACCCACACACGGACGCAAAAAAAGCGTCAGGATTTAACCCCCGCCAGACCTATTGGTTTTCTACCTAAGCGGCGGCCGGGGGGGGGGGGGGTCCGTACGTACGACTCCCCCTTCTCGTTTCGCCCCTGAATACTGAGAGGTAGAGCCTTAGGAAATAAGAGCGTGTGCGCCGTTACGAGACGCAGCGACTGTTACCCGATTTTAAGGTCTCAGGTCAACTGGTGACCTCTGAGGTCAGGTCAAGCGGCCCAGGACAGGGTAAGGTTTTTGATAAATAACTTCGCAAAAACGACTGGAGAGCCGCGATTTTAGCATCATCGTGTTCGCCTCGCTCAGGGGCATCGAATGGTATACTTCTTGCTAGGGTGAGGTCAACTTCAGGTGTTGCCCTCACGTCAAGGTCAGGTCAGAGCCCCCAGGTCACGAAGTTGGTCAAAGGAGGTCATGTTGCATATCGTTCGATTCGGCAGGTCTTCCTGAGTCCATTGAAGGCTTTCTTGACTCGCTAACTCAATTTGGTCGGGAGTTATTGACGAAAACTCTTATGACCCTAGTGACGTCATAAATGACATTACGCAGGGTCAACAATGCAAACGTGAAGCCCTTGCAAGGAGCGCATGAAATCACGATTCCGTGTGCTTGGGATAGTTGAGATCGTTCCCGGCGCCAAAATAGCAGTTTTCATTTTTCCCCATTGTGAGGTCACGTGACCGACCTGACCTCATGTAACCTAAAAGAAAAATCCGAGATGTACAACTTCTGAGACCTCTGGAGGATACTACGTCCTGTAAGTTTAATCTCCCTGTGAAAATTTCTCTGGTACTGACGGCGTTGCGAAGTTCCTCGCCTAGCTGGAGCAGACCGTACCCTGACCCCGCCTCCCTCCATTCTCAGCTGGAGCAGACGTACCCGGCCAAGGACGAAGCGGAGATGCTGCGCGACTGGGGCCAGCACAACGTCACCTGGCTCGAGTTTGTTCGGGAGACGATGGCGGCGCACGCGGCGCAGCAGTCGCCGCTGTCGGCGGCCGGCGCGCTGCCGCGCCTGTTCGCCGACCTGCAGCGGCTGGCCGTCGGTCTGGAGCGAGCTGCGCTGGAGGCGGCGCTCACCGGCAACGGCAGCGGCCTGGAGCTGTTCCGCGCCGTCCAGGCCGGACTCATGCAGGTGGGTGGAGAGAGGCGGAGAGAGGAAGGAGAGAGGGGAGAGAGAAACAGAAATGATAGAAAAGAAACCTTCGGAGAAATCCCATTCAATCACGGATGAAACTGAGGTCTGAGCTGCACAGGTCGATGCTAAATATGGATGGGGAAGCATACCCCTCTAAATGCTGATAGGGTAGGTAAGTGCTGTTCCGTGCGAAGTTGGCGTGTTTTGGTTTCCGCTGTTCGTGTTATCCCCCGGCCACTGAACGACGTCTCGCGTCATTTAACGGAGACGGCATCACCATTCCCGGGACAGTGCAGCGCCTTTTCTGGCGATCTGGCGCTAAGCCTTCCAGTCATTGTCGTCCCGTCAGGGACAGAAGAGCCTGACGCAATCCTGGCCACGGGCCCAGTCCCTCCGAGATTTCCCCGTGAAATGGTAAAACATATCCCAGCGCTTGTGCCTTCTCCAGTAGATAGCCTCTCAGCCTCCCTCTGCAGCTGCCTCTGACTCGCTTTCACGCCTTTCCACAGCTGTGTGACCCTCCTCTGACCCACTGTCCCTCCCGCAGCTGCTGTGTGAGCTGCAGCTGGCGCTCCTCGAGAAGCAGCTGGAGGCGGACGCGGCGCGCGTCACCGACATCCTCGAGCACGACGGACCAGACCTGGACGAGACGCGCGAGAGGGACCTGCGCAACTGGGTGCTCATGCGCGAGTACAAGGCTTACATCGGGCACGTGCACACGGTGGTGCGCGCACTTCGAGAACAGTCGGCGGCCGACTAGCGGCGACGGCCGGGGGCCCGGCGGGGGCCGAGGAGTGGTGACGCCGCTCTCCGGCGACCGCAGCGGCGCGCCGGCACCCCGGCCGCGCCGCAGCACTGGGCATTAGACGAGCCAATGAACGACGGCGCCCGTCGGACGTCGACAAGGCCAGGGGCCCCGGCGGAGCGGCCAAAACCGCCCTCTACGGAATGTCAAGGCGTCAAAAGCCGCCGGCCTGATGGTAACGGCCTCATCACGAGTCCGGCCGGATTTATCGGTGTTCAGCAAACACCTTGCCTGGGAGGACCTTAGTCGCTAAGGCGCTTTTCACGGCAGTGAGACACGTGCCATCAAACTATTGCAATGTGTTTGTCACTCTTCTGTGACCACATCAAGCAAGGGAAGTTGAGCGCAGAGTCCGACGCGCTACATGATTATGTACCTGATTGAACTGTGTCATGCAGCTGTTTGCAGCTGCTAACTAGTAAGTAACGTTGGCTGACTAAACGCTGACCGTTTCCAGCAAGCTCGATTACTTTCGGTGTTTGGTTTACGGCAATACCGGCTACACAGCGCGTGCTTCATGTCTATCGGAGGGAGAAAAATGTTATTTTTCTAGATTCAAGCGATAGCACCCACGGAGAAGACAGCCCAAAATTGTCCACATAAGGGACGTGGGTGGCGCTTGAATTTAACAGGCGCAATTCAACCATATTTGCGTCTGAAGCGATAATTGCAGATTGTTTCAATGGCGACATGTCATCGAGATCTGTGTTCATTTTATACGACTCGCGAGGCAGTTGCGGCTTCCCTGACAAGCTGTGAATGTCGGTACGAAACACTAGCACGCCGAAATCTTGACAGTGAGCTGTGAGCGATCATACCGTTCAGCCACTGTGCATTCCTAAATATGTGATACTTGCGTAGGAGATAGTTTTTATATGACTGTTCTTTTGTGAATAGCGCGAGCATGTATATCGCAAATGAAGTTCGTATTATTGTGTTACCTTTTTTTTTGTTAAATGAGCTTAGCTTTTAGTTGCTCTGAAGCCGACGATGTTTGACGCTGCTGTGTACCGCGCGGATGTGCTGAATACAATTCAAGGTAACAGCCGTGGCTTTGACGACAATAAATGCCGTGGAAAATAAATGCCGTCCCAAAGTCGCCCGTAGGCGTCAGACCTGGCTGGAATCGAGTCTGCTTTCATCAGCGACCAAGGCTGGTTGGGAGTGTCAATCTGCACGGCTCTGGCAAACGGCACAATACAGAGCCTGTCGTATAAGGCCACTCATATAATAATGACAAACTGGCCAGTCATACCTCAGGTCCTATCCTGTCATACTGAGTGTATTTCAAAATATCTTATTTACAACACAAATAGTTTCACTCTTAGCTACAGGGTTTTATTCTACACAACTTGGAGGGTAGCCGTTCTATTCAGCTTACAAGTAAAAAACGCACAAAAAGATAATAACAAGCAGCAGCCGAACGAACCCTGTTTCCAAGGAAGAAACTAAATACGAGCGTAAGTAAGAGTGTGTAGCGGAATTTTATCTGTCCAAATACGACCCAGCCATCTGGAAGAGAAAATATACCGTGATTCTGAAAAGTGAAATTTGAAAACCGCCTCCAGTCCCGTGATACCTCGACCGAGAGCCACGAGAGCTCCCCACTGCGGCCCCTCACAGGTCTCACTGCGGCCTTGAGGCCGTCCAGACACCCCACACAGGTGGAAAGAATGAGGAGTGGCGCCACAAACATAGAAATGATGCGCCAGAGGCGTTCCAATTTTCAGAAGTGCGACACCCCCGGTGTCTGAAGTGTATCGTTCGTTGACCCAACCGGTTTCTTCGGAAATACTACGCAATGTTTTGGTTTGAAGTAAGCCACTTAGCTACTCCTGGGTGAAGGCCGCCGGGCAGCGCGGTGAGAATTGAAGGCCACTGTATCACTGGGGCCCCGGAGTGGCGGAAAAGAATGAAACTCGCCGCGATCAACACACAAAATCCCGACTTGTGGCGGATAATCAGGAAGGCCATACCCTGCCCACAAATGGGACGACATCTCAGTGGCAATGGCCCGCAGCTCAGCACCTCCCAAGGCTGTGTGAGGCAATAGCAGAGTGGAGACTGTCGATGCTCACAGGACATACATACGGCTGCACTTCAACAGTAGACTAGCTTTGGGAACATTGCCAAACAAAAGAGACAATACTCCAGGACAGTTATCAAAACGCAGCGAAATTGAGTGGATCTAGCTCCAAAATGATAATGGAATATCAATAAAGAGAGTCCAGGATAAAAAAGGGACTTACCAGCATTCAGACAAGAAACTGATATCACATTTCATAATTCAGTGCGTATCGCATTGTGTTCTGGCCTCCGGGATTACTCTCCGCTGGCCACAACTGCGACCGATGAAAGTGATAAATACCGCCAGAGAAAAACACGTAACACATTTACGGGGAAGGGTTCGGCAGCCGCCAACATACCTAATAACCTCCGGCACAGGTGCGTTAACCCGACATGCCGTGTGGGCTCATAGGCGCCAACACTTTCTTCGGCTATGAGTCGACAGTCGTTTTTTCCGAGAACAGCTTCATACCAGTTTTGTGTGCGATTGCGAACACTTATGACGCAATAGGCCCGAGGAGCCGGAACGAAACGTCCGCTTATCGCAGCGGCCCTGACAAGGGATCTCCAGCCAATAATTTGACATAATTCTCGAAAGCTACGACCGTTTTTGCCTAAATCTCACAGCAGGCGTCGAGGCAAACGAACTTACGGCCATGAACCGGGTTATAATGATATCGTCCCTGAATCTCACGTGTTTAATTAAAAAACAAGATGTGCAACGATCGATACCTAGAGAGCTGCTGGCGCCGTCAGTGATGTGGAATGCGATTTGGGAATAACAGAGCTACCCGCTCCGGGTCATTCCCTTCCTATAAACAGGCGGTATAATGCCCGTTTGAAGCAGCGCGGGTACCATATGCCGGGTGTCATAATACGTAGTCACAGAAGTCGATGTGGCGGGGTGTGGTCGTGGTCATTAGTGTCCTGTATCCACAACTTTGTTATCCTCATTCTGTGTCTTCCATGTGAAATCCCAGCACAATTCAGGACCTCATTCTGTGTCTTCCATGTGAACTCCCAGCACAATTCGGGACTCATCAAATATCACCAATACCATCCGAGACTTCAAACCCAGTAAAATCCTCCCCGACGGTTCCAAGAGCACAACCCAATGAAAAAGCAATCACCATTTCCATCATAATGTAATCCATAGAATATAGAGGAAGGACAGATAACCGACCATTTTCCAGTGCGGCGGCCGCGGTGCGCTCACCACTTTTTCTTGTTCTGCTTCTTCTTCTTCTGGGCGTTTCGGGCCATCTGGCGGGGTCCGGCCGTCTGGTCGGGCAGGGGCGCCGCCTTCTGCTGTACCGCCGTCTTGGTGATGTCGCTGAGGGGAAGGACGGGGGGACGGGGGTCAGTGGGGTCGGACATACGGGGTCAGAGGGATGGGGTCTGAGAGGAAAGGACACAAATGACAACGTCGTAGGATGACGATAGAAAATCGAACAACTTTGGCGCCACACAAATTTTGATCGAATTAAGTCTGCGTTCGTTCTTTTTTTTGCATGGAATTTCTACGCTGAGGAATTCCTCACAAAAACAGTCGTTCGGGCATCACGAAACGTGAGGAATCCCGCAGGATCCCGCGAAACGGCCCGAACGGCCGTTTTCGTGAGGAATTCTTCGGCGTGGAAATTCCACGCGAAAAACGGCACGTCCGAACGCAGCTTTATGCTCCCGTGAGATTAGGACGACCAAAAGCAACATCGCACGATGTGCTAACAGGCAACTGCCTCCACTGGCCGTGCTGGACTGGCGACCCCCCTATCAGGCGCATCAGCGCCACTGCTCCCATCCCATCCCGCGCCGCCGCTGCTAGAGACCAGCCTGGGTACCCGTCAATGGTTATTTATGGTTGATACTGGAGGTTGCCCTGGACCACTTCATTGGTAATTGCGGCTTTAATTCACAAGGGGTCACCCTAGGCTACTTTCCGTTAGGTATGTACGGTCGGTACTCACTAGAGGTCGCTCTGCGCCGATGGGCCACCCTGGGTGCCCTTCATGGGCTCGTTGCGCCGCCTCTTGCGCTGTTTGAAGGTGGAGCGCTCGCGGCGCGGCAGCCAACGCTCCGGGTCCGGCTTCACCTTGGGGTTGTAGTTCTTGGGCAGCTTGGGCTTCTTCTTCTTGCGCTTCTTGTTTTGGTTCTGGATCAGCGCGTCACCGGGCGTATCCGGCGAGCTGGAACACAGCCGGGGGTCGGCAGCGTCAATGTGATGTCAGGCTCACCGATGACAGCAATCCATTAATTGGTTAGGCACGTAATTAGGTACTTTAACCCTCGCATGTGTAGGGGGGGGGGGGGGTCGGATGGACCCCCCCCCATGATTTTTCGCGAATAACTCGCGTAAAAAGCGGCCGATCGCGACGAAACTTTCAGTACCCTCACATTGATCAATTTTACACCTACCCTGAAAATTTCATGACCCTGACCCAAATGACCTTTGACCTGTGACCTCTTTTCCGAGACCATGTTTGGCCGGAATCGCGATTCTGCGTACCTATGTCGGCTCGCATTAGCCGCGCGTTTGCAAGCTTTTCGTGGTTTCAAACGTTCAAACATGTGATTTGATGTTGCTTCCATGCATTAGGGTGGGTGTCAAGGTCACCTGAAGGTCAGGTCAGGTCATTGACCTTTAATGACCTCGGGTGACCTCGGTTCACTTTTTCGAGCTGTACATGTTTCTAGGCTAGTTTTTGGAGCTGAATTCGAATTTAGCAACCATTTGAACATTTACGAAGTAGTTTTGGTGCCTTCGTAACATGTTACGAAGCTGTCAGAGGCGGTTGACACGTACTACGAATACCCGTCACGACGCCTACTGGTTGACCTGACCTGACCTGACCCGACCTGGTCTAAATGCTTCAAGACATCATCTGTGATCAAAACTAACACGATATTCGTGATCAGCACCCCGAAAAACCCCTCAGCAGCCACACTTTACGACTTTCTAACAGGTCCCGATTTTCCCGACTTTGGGTTATTGACCTGACCTGGCAGGTCAACCAATGACCTAGGACCTTAAATTGGGTATCATCGGCTTCCTCTCGTCACGGGCAACACGCTCGTTTTTTCCGCGAAGCTCTAGCTCGATCAGGGGCCAAACGGCAAGGGGGGGGGGGTCCAACCGACCCCCCCCTACACATTAGAAGCTGGCAAACGCCGCACACATGCGAGGGTTAATTCGGTATCATTAGCTTAACAGCACCAAAATAGGCATAACACATTGCCAGCAGAAATGTGCTCCTAGTCATAATTCCAGAGTGTTAGGTCCAGACGGTCGCCAGCATTCGATAATCTGAGTGATCAGGGACTCGGGAGGCCGTCCTTACCTGGGTGATCCGGGGCTGGGCAGGCCGTCCTTGCGGCGCGGCCGGCCGCCCGCCGACCACGAGGTGCTCTCCAGGGCGTCCACGTCCAGGCCGGTGCCGAGCTGCGGCGGGGGCAGCTCGGCAGAGACGCGCCGCGCCGCCGCCGGGTCGAACTGGCTGTAGGCGGTCACCAGCTGCGCCACGGTGCGCACGTCGCCCGGCTGGGCGCGGCGCAGCTCCTCCAGGCTGGCGGCGGCGGCGCGCGGCTCGCCGCAGCGCAGACTGAAGTCGGCCGACTGGCGCCACAGCTGGCTGGCGTCGCCGCGCGCGCCGGCCTGCGCCTGCTGCCTGACCGCCTCCTGCAGCAGCTGGGCGGCCGCCTCCTGGCTACCGGCGCGCACGCACAGCGCCACGCGCGTCGACACGACGCCCGGCCGGCGGCTGAGGTCGCCGAGCGCGCCCAGCTGCCGGCTGGC